CTTGAGGCGTTGCCCGCTTTTTCTAAACACATATAGTAGAATACCTCGTACTCTGAGTATATATTAACACCTTTTTCTAAACACACAGGTATCAGACCACCAGTCGACCATGAGTTTTAAGGCACAGCTACATGCCCTACCATAGAAGAGTACCGAATACTCAAAGTCGTTAGCCACTTTTTCCATACACACACAATGATAGGTGTGAATATTTGTAGCACTGGGATGGCTTCAGGCCCTCCCATAGTATATACAGAGTGGGTATGTTGCTTTGAAACGTTCACAATTTGACACAGTCTCCCTGAACACAACGAGGAAAATTTACTGCTATTCATCGTGAGATCAAGGAATGTTATTACGTGTCGAAAGCACCTGGCAGCATGCTTTTCAAGGCGTCCAGCGGAATAGACATCTTCCTGTTTGCAAACAGTGTGACGTCACTTCGAGCCCCGCGACCACCATTCCCTCCCTATGCGCAGGGACTGGTTGGCCAGAAAGTTCCGCCGACGAGATCTTTCTGCATAACAGGGCTGTGTGTGTCTGCATTCCTCGGACACAAATTTTGGCGAATTGTTGTTTTTTTCTAAAGCCACTAAAACGAAGGGTCACTGCCTATAATGCACGATTCTGTTAGGTTCCCATGGGGCGATTTGCTCGTCGTAGACGGCAGCCATTAAGAAAAAAAAAAGTTTTCTTCTTCTTAATTGACCCTTCTACATTTTGTCGGTAACGTATGCTTTGAATATTTCATCGTGACATTTGAACTGCAGTATTAAACGAGGCACAGTATTGTCGGCAGCATGGTTTTGAGCTGACGCGCGATGTATTTTGTTGCTGGTAGAGTCGCATGAATTGTGTGCTTGTTGCTCTAGACTATGATGGTTGCCAACCAGCAGACCACCGGACGGTATTATGCGGCCTTCGGACGCTGAATCCTTCCCTCTTCTCTTATCGTGTGCTACCTAAAACTGACATAGCAGTTTTGACTTAATATGACATTTTCGCTTGTCGCTTATGCTTATTAGCAATTATGACATGCTTACCCAAAATAAACGTGACTTTTTTTTCCTAATCTAGTTTTCTAAATTATAGCCAATTTGCTCATTTTTTTTTCTGCAGAACCATCTCATCCCCCCCTTTTATTTGCTGTGTGCCCCCCCCCCCCCCCCGCTGTGTCGGCGGCATGCAGGTTGGCCCTTCGCCTAAAAGGGTTGCCGATCCCCTATTCTAGGAAACGTGTACTTCTTCACTGTCCTCACATCCGCGAGGAAAATGATGCCAACCAATCCTTGCTAAAACCCGGCATAAGACGCGTTCGTATTAAATTGCAAACACTGAATCGGGCAGACGCACACGGCGAGATGCCTGCACGGCACTGTCACGAAGACGAAAGTGATATATATACAATATTGATTGAGCAACCAGTGATGATGACCGATGTATATACGGTCAGCGATAAGCACAACCCATGCTGCATCTGAGGATTTAGACATATCACAGTGGCACGTGGATGTTTATGGATGAAGGGGCACACATGCAGGTTCAAGTAGGGGTGTGCTGTGGCAAAAACGCTACACGAACCACGAGGCAAAAAGAAAAAAAAAGAAACGCTACATGACGGGATATCCCAAAAAAATCTCGTTTGTGGACCGTGTAATCGAAAAACTTTAGGGAACAAAAAAAAAAAAAAAACACGCGCCTTTGCTCCCATTCCTCCCTCTCCAAGGAGAAGGGGGGGGGGGGGCAGGGAAGTGAAAAGTTCATGCCAATATGCTTACTCCAAGGGGGCAAAGGAGGGAGGGAGCAGGTACAAATTTTAAGGGAGAAGTCCCCGCCCTCTTCCGCGCCTCCCGATTGCTCTGTTGCACTCGTGTACTAAAACATGGCGATATTATCTATGTCGACCGGCACCAGTGCTGCAGACTATATTGACGAGTCGTAGAGGGGTTGCATCATACACGGGTAATACATGAACCCGTTAGTTGGCTCCAGTATTCGGCGCACATATGATCATGCATATATTCTGGGTGAGTGCAAGGTTACAGGCAGACCCAAAAACTGCCACACCAACAGTGAAAGAGTACGTACAGAAGTTTCACTCACATCTGCACTCTGCATGCCCGTATAGTTTAAGACATACACTATAACTTAACTTTACGTCATTTTGAGGGGTAATAACTAATTGTTTATGTGCATTATTTGCAATAGTCTTTCTATACTCTCTGATGGAATACGTTAACTCTCTTTGTATCCAGTCGGAGTACACGTGCTTGAAAAGAAGCGTAGCACCATTCAAGAAATGTGAGCAATCACTCTCGCCAAAGCTCTTTGTACACCGTGCATTCGTAAATCAATAAACCTGACGGACTCCAGTCAGGCGCGTAGCCAGAATTTTATTTGGGGGGGGGGGCACCTTTTTGATTTCGGGGAAGACACCCCCTTGGTGTGGTCATGGTCATTTTGTGCTCTCTATGCCATGGCGAAAAAAAATCAGGGGGTGGAGGGCACGGACCTGGTGTGCCACCTCGTGGCTACGCCCCAGACCACTCCCATCCATCCAAACACAAGTCTATAATGTTGAACTAATTTGAACTGCGCTACTCTGCTTTAGCTCAAATCAATAAGAGTAGGGGATTAAGCACGATCGTATGCAGCAGTCAAAACTTGAGCATTGCCGCGCAGCCATAGGAGGAATACAACCTGTATATTTATGAGTAAGTGCGGGGCCTCTTAACAAATTAATGCTGGCTACAGCACCAGAAACCAAACCAAGAAAACAAAAATGGCAGCATATCCACGGAGTGAATGATGGGGAGTGGGGCGAAGCATTCGTCCGTCCATTCGTTCTTCCTTCCGTCCGTTCCTGCGTACGTCTGTGTAGCCGTCCATGCGTCCATCCACCCGTCCGTGCGTGCGTCTGTTCGTGCGTCCGTCCCTGCGTTCGTCCATGCATCCGCGCCTGCGTCCGTTCATGCGTCCATCCATGCATCTGTCTGTGTGTCCGTTCGTCCATCTATTCAGCACTCCAAGTACTACCATCTCGCATCTTTTCATCATATATTCTCCATATAGAAGCACCGCCATCCAGCGGACATTTCAAGGACTAAACGGGAGGTGGCACATGCACACTTTCTTACGGCTTGCGCTTCGTGTCTACTTCCCACCTTTAACCACCTCGAGTTCATGGTATATACTAGTTCACTGTATTCATGGCTATGTGGCTCAACGCTCGCTAAAGCTTTCTAAAGCTAAGGAGGTTGCACCCAGCGAGTATAACGTAGCAACCCTTTCTTGTCAGATCGTGCTCAACGTACATGCCAATAGCTGCTAATGGGGATTGCAGCGTGCGCGTTACCTAAAGGCCGAATGCTCCTGTCTCTCATTCCCCCTTAGCAGCCATTAACATATGCATTGAGCACTATCTTTCATTGTTCAACAACGCACAGAAGAAATCTCTCACCGGAACCACCTTGAGGGTCAAAATCGTAAGGACCGCTATTTCGGGTATGTGCCACTTGTAGTTACGTACTACGAGGGACGCACAAGCCACGCCATAAGGAGCTTCGCCCCTAAAAAAACAACAACGAGAGAAGATGCAAGTTTGCTCTCGGGCAGTGCACCAAACGGGAAAGAGCACGGACTGGGAAGAGGGGCCGGCCGTCTGGAATTATATTGATCGCGTCAGCTGTGTTTAGGCCTAAGCTGTTAGATACACGAGCGAATCCTTAGTTTATGTTAAGTTTGTTAGTTTCTCTTCATTTTGTTTTTATTACCGTGTTCGTCTAACCCCGTTTTATAGACAACGCTCACTCGCTAATTCACTCAGAACGCCATCATCCCTCGTATAAGCTCACATGGCTGACGTTGTACCTCGTCTGCTACAGCACATTAGTATGCCGACGTACATATATACTAACATGACCAAATTATCTCCAAGAAAGGCAGAAAAAAAAAGGGGGGTGGGGGTGGAGAGTACTTTTCAGTGCAAGCATGTACTTTTATGAGCCCTACAAAAGTCACCGTTAGTACTTCATTGACGTAAATAACCTGAATACAGAACATTTCCTCCTTTGATCCTTTCGTACGGTTTGTCCTTTCTGTGACATCATTCGAACCTCTATTCATTTTCTTGATTTTTCTTTCTGAAAGTAGCATATTTCAAGTAGTGCATCTCTGCCGACAATTTCAATGCTGGCTCAATTTGAACTTTCTCTTACTTGCCTTAGCTGAGGAATAAAATCAAACGAGTATGAAACAACATTATCCGGGGTCTTTCTTTGATACACTTTTTAAAAGAAGTGTTAAGGAACCCTGGTATTATTTTTCCCGCGACGAGGACCACTTTGCGTGGTCACTCGTGGAAAGCACTCAATTGCAGAAATAGACTGTTTAAAAGATAGTTCGGCATCTACATACGATGTACCGTTCGCTTTATTCTGCCGTGCCAGTATTTCGTGGACAACTGCTCTGTTAAAGCAAACAACGTGAGCCGATATAGTTGAAAAGGCAGTGTTGAAGCAACAACAACAACAACAACAACAACAACAACAACAACAACAACAACAACAACAACAACAAAGAATAAGATGCAAACTAAAGTAAGCTCAGTTGCAGTCGTCAGAGTTCCGTAGGAAAAAATAATTTAACATTGCGAAGCGTCAAGTCCTAAAGCGTCCAGTCCGGCTGCTTGAACAGACTCCGCATCGTAGCTGACGCACGCACGGCGATTCGTTAAAATTGGGCAGGAGATGCGCCACGGGTTTCTCCGCGCAATAGAAACGTTTTCTTCGTGTCGAAAGCGGTCGCCGGACGAGCTATTTCTGCTTTTCAGAGTTGGAGCAACCACTCGTACACGTTTATTCGCAATGTGGTCGATAAAAACCGTTCAAAAGAGCCGCCAAAAAAACCACGATACGCGTTTAGATTTGTGGCGCCATCTGTGAGCTAAAGATTAAACTAACAACGGCGCCCCGTTCGTGAGGGAGGGCCGACCGACGTACCCCTTGCCGCCAAGCTGGTAGGTGTTCTGTGGAGTCTCCATATGGGACGCACGTTTTCTTGCTTTGTTGCTCGAAGCAAGTCCCCCTCGGGCGCTGAAGAAAATCGCCGTGTATTCGGCGTCGTCGTCGTGAGCGCTGGACCTGTCGTCGCCGCGTCGTCAACCGCAGCACCGGGTGAGACGTAGTGCAGCGCCAACGATCCAAGCGCGCAATGTTTCTTTTTCTTTTGACTCTGGACGGGCCGTTTCCACGGCAGCGAAGGACGACGGCGATCGAGGGAACGCGAGGGAGCGGAGGGGTATCCGCTCCGTTTCGTAACATGTCGGCCGCCACGGCCGTCTCGTGAAAAGATCAACCGAAAGCTCGATCGCTTGGCCCCTCGTCGGCGTTTCGTCGTCAACATGGTAACGTGAAATCGTCGCAACTACCGTTACGAGCGATCACCGCGATGCCAGGTTCCTAGCTTTACCGTGTTTACGTCTCGCATGGTTCTGTTTTGGTCGGCGCGCGGACGTTTAATCCGGTTCTCACTTAGCTCCTCCTCGCGCCCCAAAGAGCACGCGAGTTCAGGTGTCGTTTCCGGGACCGAAAGCGAGTTTTTTTTCCTCCGGCGCCTCCGTGTAAGATATGTGGTGGATACCGGTCTCCACGACGGGCGGATCTAGCGGCCTTGTTTTCTGATGAGCCGCTGAGTGAGTAGCAGACACGTCCGTGTGTGCATTAATTACGTCCGGTCTGAGCGTGCGCGTTCCCTGTCGGAGAGTAGGCCAAGGCAAACGGCAGGCACTTAAAGAGAGGCTAGACGTGTGCTACGTTGCCGTTTTTAGGGACGCGCTGTGACCGATTTGCAGTGGACGCAATGAGTGAAAATCTCGCCGTGAAAACGCCCTCGTTGCGTAATATGCGAGGCAGTGCATTGTATGCACGGAACGTGCATTGCAGCATGCTTTAAAAAATTGCAAGTGTGGAACCGTGAACCTTTTACTGTGAGATCATGCCGCCTTGTTTTTGTGTGTTGTATACGTTTTTGTCTAAGTTGTGCAAGTTGGCGCACTTTGAGCTCGTGTGCGCGCTCGTGTTGAAGACTAAATGAATGGAAATTTTGCATGAGTCGTCATGCTTGTCGAACAGAGAGTACGATGAATATTATACGCACATAATTTCTGGCGTGTACGACCGTTGGTTGCATTTCTCATTCAAAATAAGTAAAAGGACAAAACATGTGGTGCTCACAGCCGTATTTAAGATCGCTGTGTATGGTAGCTCGCAAAAAATAAATAAATAATTGGTGTGTTTGACACCTCACCATAGTTTTATAAAGCATTGGCATGGTTACAATTTATATACTGCCAATGGGGATCGAGCTTTAATGGCGATAAATGGTGTTATATTGCGGAATTTTACACTTGTGCGACCAAATAGACATGACCTCTGTGAGTTACGTGTATTTTGGTAGTCCACTCGAGGGCATCCAGCATACACATTTCTGTGTATCAATGTTTCCACTTGCTTGCTTCCTAGTCATGGTGTTTTAATGCACCAAATTGAAGGCTAGTCCTTTCGTGTGCTATACTGCAATAGAAGGGAACCTGTGTTTACTTTTAGGGGAAAATTGTTGACTCGGCATATTTACTTAGCACTCTGAAATTCCGCACGACCGCAATGTACTAAACACATGCAGTCATTGTTTTAACTTTTAGTGAACCTTCTTCACAACCCTTTAATACCTGAATTATGAAACTGCCAAAGAAAATAAATTATCAGAAAAATAAATTATAGATTACACGCATTTTATGAAAATTAGATTTGGTTATCCCTTTCATTATTGATGGGTGATCTGACCATAATCACACTAAAAAGGTTTTTGTGTACGTATAACTGGTAGTTGTTTCCGAATGTTTCGCCTCTCAGTTGCTGTCTTGAAGAAGACAAGTATGTTTCTCGAAATGTCTTTTCTAGCGACACTCCTTGTTTTTGATTTTTTTTCATAACGTGTTGCTTGGGATTAGACTTTCTTCTAAGCAGTAACAAGCCTTGCTGATGGCTATCTAACCTGTTAATTAAAGCATAAGATGATAAACTGAATTGTGGGCCAGAAGTCTGAATTCGCTGCTGCAACTCGGTAATTATTTCTTTTCCTCATTTTTTCTCTCTGCCATTTCGTGGACAACTGCTCTGTTAAAGCAAACAACGTGAGCCGATATAGTTGAAAAGGCAGTGTTGAAGCAACAACAACAACAACAACAACAACAACAACAACAACAACACAACAACAACAACAAAGAATAAGATGCAAACTAAAGTAAGCTCAGTTGCAGTCGTCAGAGTTCCGTAGGAAAAAATAATTTAACATTGCGAAGCGTCAAGTCCTAAAGCGTCCAGTCCGGCTGCTTGAACAGACTCCGCATCGTAGCTGACGCACGCACGGCGATTCGTTAAAATTGGGCAGGAGATGCGCCACGGGTTTCTCCGCGCAATAGAAACGTTTTCTTCGTGTCGAAAGCGGTCGCCGGACGAGCTATTTCTGCTTTTCAGAGTTGGAGCAACCACTCGTACACGTTTATTCGCAATGTGGTCGATAAAAACCGTTCAAAAGAGCCGCCAAAAAAACCACGATACGCGTTTAGATTTGTGGCGCCATCTGTGAGCTAAAGATTAAACTAACAACGGCGCCCCGTTCGTGAGGGAGGGCCGACCGACGTACCCCTTGCCGCCAAGCTGGTAGGTGTTCTGTGGAGTCTCCATATGGGACGCACGTTTTCTTGCTTTGTTGCTCGAAGCAAGTCCCCCTCGGGCGCTGAAGAAAATCGCCGTGTATTCGGCGTCGTCGTCGTGAGCGCTGGACCTGTCGTCGCCGCGTCGTCAACCGCAGCACCGGGTGAGACGTAGTGCAGCGCCAACGATCCAAGCGCGCAATGTTTCTTTTTCTTTTGACTCTGGACGGGCCGTTTCCACGGCAGCGAAGGACGACGGCGATCGAGGGAACGCGAGGGAGCGGAGGGGTATCCGCTCCGTTTCGTAACATGTCGGCCGCCACGGCCGTCTCGTGAAAAGATCAACCGAAAGCTCGATCGCTTGGCCCCTCGTCGGCGTTTCGTCGTCAACATGGTAACGTGAAATCGTCGCAACTACCGTTACGAGCGATCACCGCGATGCCAGGTTCCTAGCTTTACCGTGTTTACGTCTCGCATGGTTCTGTTTTGGTCGGCGCGCGGACGTTAATCCGGTTCTCACTTAGCTCCTCCTCGCGCCCCAAAGAGCACGCGAGTTCAGGTGTCGTTTCCGGGACCGAAAGCGAGTTTTTTTTCCTCCGGCGCCTCCGTGTAAGATATGTGGTGGATACCGGTCTCCACGACGGGCGGATCTAGCGGCCTTGTTTTCTGATGAGCCGCTGAGTGAGTAGCAGACACGTCCGTGTGTGCATTAATTACGTCCGGTCTGAGCGTGCGCGTTCCCTGTCGGAGAGTAGGCCAAGGCAAACGGCAGGCACTTAAAGAGAGGCTAGACGTGTGCTACGTTGCCGTTTTTAGGGACGCGCTGTGACCGATTTGCAGTGGACGCAATGAGTGAAAATCTCGCCGTGAAAACGCCCTCGTTGCGTAATATGCGAGGCAGTGCATTGTATGCACGGAACGTGCATTGCAGCATGCTTTAAAAAATTGCAAGTGTGGAACCGTGAACCTTTTACTTTGTGTGTTGTATATGTTTTTCTCTAAGTTGTGCAAGTTGGCGCACTTTGAGCTCGTGTGCGCGCTCGTGTTGAAGACTAAATGAATGGAAATTTTGCATGAGTCGTCATGCTTGTCGAACAGAGAGTACGATGAATATTATACGCACATAATTTCTGGCGTGTACGACCGTTGGTTGCATTTCTCATTCAAAATAAGTAAAAGGACAAAACATGTGGTGCTCACAGCCGTATTTAAGATCGCTGTGTATGGTAGCTCGCAAAAAATAAATAAATAATTGGTGTGTTTGACACCTCACCATAGTTTTTATAAAGCATTGGCATGGTTACAATTTATATACTGCCAATGGGGATCGAGCTTTAATGGCGATAAATGGTGTTATATTGCGGAATTTTACACTTGTGCGACCAAATAGACATGACCTCTGTGAGTTACGTGTATTTTGGTAGTCCACTCGAGGGCATCCAGCATACACATTTCTGTGTATCAATGTTTCCACTTGCTTGCTTCCTAGTCATGGTGTTTTTAATGCACCAAATTGAAGGCTAGTCTTTCGTGTACTATACTGCAATAGAAGGGAACCTGTGTTTACTTTTAGGGGAAAATTGTTGACTCGGCATATTTACTTAGCACTCTGAAATTCCGCACGACCGCAATGTACTAAACACATGCAGTCATTGTTTTAACTTTTAGTGAACCTTCTTCACAACCCTTTAATACCTGAATTATGAAACTGCCAAAGAAAATAAATTATCAGAAAAATAAATTATAGATTACACGCATTTTATGAAAATCGGATTTGGTTATCCCTTCCTTTATTGATGGGTGATCTGACCATGATCACGCTAAAAAGTTTTTTGTGTATGTATAACTGGTAGATGTTTCCAAACAAATTCCAAATGTTTTGCCTCTCAGTTGCTGTCTTGAAGAAGACAAGTATGTTTCTCGAAATGTCTTTTCTAGCGACACTCCTTGTTTTTGATTTTTTTTTCATAACGTGTTGCTTGGGATTAGACTTTCTTCTAAGCAGTAACAAGCCTTGCTGATGGCTATCTAACCTGTTTAATTAAAGCATAAGATGATAAACTGAATTGTGGGCCAGAAGTCTGAATTCGCTGCTGCAACTCGGTAATTATTTCTTTTCCTCATTTTTTCTCTCTGCCATTCCAGTTGCACGCTGAGTACAAGAGGAGCTTTGCGTGGCAGCCAGGTCATCCAGAACCAGCGGGAAATGTCGTCGTGAAGCCACCAGATGCAACTTGTGAGTCGGCTTGCATTTCTTCTCGGTTCATGTTGGGAAGGTCTTTAGTGCATAAAAAGAATACTATTGTTTACTTTGATAAGTGCGCTAGCAATGGTGGGTTAGTGGCTAAGGCTTTGCTGTTGGGCACAAGAGCGTGGGTTCGATTGTACGTTTTTCCATGTAAAATGCTTTGGAAACCCTACAAAATGTTTTCACTGTAAATACCAATTACATAACATTAGCAGCGGCAATGCATGTATGCAGCTGCTTGTTGCAATCAAAAAGACACACCATTAGCTTGGAAAGTAATGGGGCAACAATTCCCAATTTCCATTGTTTAAACATAATTTTCAGCACAGCTGTAGCAACAACAGTTTGAAGCACTGAATGTGGCATTTTGCCCGAAATGCTGTCATTTGTTTTCACCTAAATGAGAATGTCGTGTTGCTCATATATTTAAAATAAAATTTTCTGGTTAGAGTATGTTAAAGAGAACATAAAATGAAATTTGTTACTTTACCTTGATTCCTTTATTACGTCTAGCAGCCAGCTTCAAGCAAAAAAAGTATTATTAGATTTATGTGCTCTTAACATCTTGTCACAATAGCTACAGTTTCTACTGGGGCTTTTGCCATCAAATTCTTTTTTCTTTTTCACTTTTCTTTTTGGAAAGAGGGATCTGCTTTGTCTAAGTATACACTCAAACCTCGTTATATTTTACAAGAAAAATAAGTTCGCTATATCCAAAAATTCGTTATAAAGGTTATTTCTAACACTGTATCTACTGCAAGAATACTTTGTTATTTGTTTTGTTTTAACCGATATTTAATTATATCCACATTCATTATATTCAGGTTTGAATGTATTATCTTGCATAATTTATAAGAGGTTCTAAAAAAATTACTGGTGGTGCTTTCAAGGGCATGTGTGAGTCAACTATGGCATTTGACACATTATTGGTAATGGTGGCCAACCATTGCTAAAAAACATGAGAGCCGTTTATTTCATAGCATACAGAAGTGAGATAGAAAAAACTGGGGTGGGTGGGGGGAACAAATTGAATGAAATGAGGCTCTTTACACAAGACAAGTTTTTTGTTATAAAGTCATGTTTAAATGTCAGCCACTGACCTTTCGGTACCTTTTCAAAGCTCTTACTAGAAATACACTTGCTGCTACAGTCCATGCACACACTTCGGCTTGGTATTTGTTCCTGCGTTGTTTGCTTTTGTTTGCTTTTTCTTTCTTCAGTTTTCTTCTGTGTATGGTTGCTTCTTTTCTTTATGAAAGCTGTGCGACATTCACCGCATTCTTGTGGCTGAGAAATTCTCTAGCGTCACGCCTCAGCAGTCCCTGACGAGTTAAACTTGTCGTTGTAGGAGAGGCCACGTTGGAGCACAATAGGGCTTTCACATAAGGAGGGAGTATGCTGTTCGGGTTACAGTAACAGGTCAATAAATTTTTCTCGCGTGCGTGTGTGTATGTGGGGAAAGAGGTCACGAACAAATCATGAAAAAAAGAAAGAAATCAGCCGTGTAAACTGTCGTACAGCAAATGTGCAAGTGCACGAGTGTATTGATTGGCTAGCAAGATCACGTGGTGTCGCAAATCTGCCACTAGTTTGAAATACACGTGCTTACAGGTTCTGAGCATCATCATCATAATGTCATGCGTCGTCATAATTTCATTTTAGTTATTTCTCTGTTCACTCTCTCTTCTGGTTATGTAACCTGGGTGATTACTACTACTACTACTACTACTACTATGACGCCGACAGTGATGATGGCACAGGGAATACTAAGATAACTTTGCTGTAAAAAAAGTTCTTTATTACTTGCTGCATATGAAGAAAATGGCATGGCTAATGCATTATTATGGTATGCTAAGAATGTTCATTAATGAATTGCTATAGTAAAACAAAATCTCAAATGATTTTTACATTTAGCTGCATGTTAAAATGAAGGTAGTAGTAGTTGAAGTAGACATTGTTCACATTGCTGCCAGCAATCTGCACGTAACTTTCTATTTCTCTTAACAGAGATCACAAAAGCACGGCATACCTACCAAACTAACAGATCTCCTGTGAGACCTTGAGGTTGAACTGTTGTGAATGTTACCTAAATTGTGTTTATAGAAAGAAGAAATAATTAACAGGAGATATCAACCTTTTGTAACATAAGTTTCTTTTATATATAATGCTATGTTTATTGTGAAATAGAAAGCAAGTGCACGGAATGCAAGTCATAATAACACAGCTGTCATTTGGGCCCTATCTCACCTGCCACAAGATGCGGTGCGAGTGAAAGCTAGTTCCTGATCTACATCTTTTTTTTTTAAACTGTTGTGCCCAGCTTTAGGCAATCCGGTGAGCTGTAGACGGAGCACAGAAAACCGAGCATGTAGATTCCAGGTTGTAGTACAGCATGAAATTGACAGGAGCTTCATGGCAGTGACGCACGTGTGCTCTTTGTAACTGTTTTGTTTCCCCGCCATTGCTCGACTGTTGCACGGCAGACGATGGGCTGCCATCAGTCACGCTTGGCTCGTTTGCTGGTCCCCCCCCTCTTTCCTATGCCCTTTGTTAGACTGCACGAAGCATCGTTGGTGTGAGTGCCTCTTTCATCTCGTCTCCCGCTGTGTTGTCGTGCTATCGGTTCTTCAAGTCCCCACATTCGAAGTTGCCCATTTGAAGAAAATGATGAATTTTTTGAGACCAGGTGCGTGTATGTTTGCGTGTACTGATGTGTGCTTGTAACCTGGATTGTGTTTGATTTACTTATGACCCGGGCTGCAGGACGCGCTGAGAATCAGTAATTGAATTCACGTAGTTGTGGAAGTCATGTGTACAAGTCATATCTTTACGTAAGCTAACGAACGGAGATGCCTTAATCGGTGTTCATAAATTTGTATACACGACAGGTACTGACTATAACTGTTGTTGATATAGACTAGTACTTGTGCACATAGTTGGTACGATATAAACTATTTTAAACTATCATGGTGTATAATCTGTGTTCACTAAAGTTTACTGTAATGTGTGAAACAATGTTTGAAGTTAGTATGTGCATCGAAGTTTAGTCTTCACAAGGGAATTAGGTATCTTACTGGGCATAACCTGACAATAACTATTCACAGATTTGAATGATCACCCTAAACTATATTCTCCACATTAAAAAAAAAAGAAGCTTATTCACTTTGAAATTAAAGTCAAGCGTTTTAAACACTTCCTCTCGGCTGTGCTTTCCTCAGTCTGCTTAAGTAACACAAAGTAACTATAACATGAAAAATTATTTGAAGAGCATACATATTCATTACATTGCTTTCTGGCAGCTCTTTTTTATTGATATTTCTTGTATATTTCATAGATATTTTTTATGATCGACAAAATAAGCCGTGCAGTGAGCAGTCTAACAATTTTTTAAAAAATGCATATTTGTGTTTTTTTTTGTTTTTTTAAATGTGTCTGCTGTCTCAATGTTTATTTTTAGCTACTGAGTTATGTTCTAACTGAAGTATTTATATAATAGCACTCCTAGCCTGAGCTAGTAGCTTGAATCCTTTCCAGTTAAACAGCATTAAATGGCATGCTGAGGTAAAGTGAGAAAATTATGGCATGTAGATTCCAGTTTCAGTTAATAATAAATTTCAAACATGCACCATTCTTGAAGTGCATTGCATACAACAGTTATTTGAATATATAACTGTGAAAACAACTTTGTTTGGTTGTTTACTTTTATTTTACTATTTCACCATTTCCTCTCTGCACTACCATGGTTTAATACTTGTTGAGAAAGAAGCAACACTCTGTGAAAATATCTACTGAGTTTTAAACTAGACACATACACAGATTTCTCGTCCTCATGTTCAAAAATATTTTAGTTACAAAAACATACTCATCTGTTTTAGTCACAGTATAAATACCGGAGATTACCAGACCATTTGAAGAATGCACATGACTTATGCAACTTCTTTTGAAAGTAATGAAGAAAGACCTTCTGCACTATCATATTCTTGACATTTAGCTGGCATATACGTTCCAGTTCTTTCACCTGACACAGTCGGCACTTCACCCATAGTAATAAACATTTCAGTATACTCTCATATCTGATCACGCTTGTCCTAAACTGTATACTAATTTTCTTGAATGTCATCATGTAATTTAGATCTTAAGGCCTTCCGCCAACATGTCATAAAATTGTGAATGTAGCTTTCAAAAATTGGTTTCTTTTAATGTTTCCAACAAAATATCTCAAACAACTTCTATTGTTGTTCTGTAGAACAGGCCACTTAATTTAGACGGTTATGAGGAGAATACCAGTCATTCTCAGCCTGCAAGCAGGTTGCGGGATCGAATCTCGGCTGCGGCGGCTGCATTTCCGATGGAGGCAGAAATGTTGTAGGCCCGTGTGCTCAGATTTGGGTGCACGTTAAAGAATCCCAGGTGGTCGAAATTCCCGGATTTCTGCAATACGGCGTCTCTCATAATCATATGGTTGGTTTTGGGACGTTAAACCTCACATATCAATCAATTGTCAGCCTGCAAATAGATGAGCCCTTCTCCCATCACCAGTTTGTTGAGAAATTCAAACATTCTTTTTTTTAAATAAGTATAGACCCAGAAATTTCACATTATCTTCATTCTCTTGAAATAAGTGGCTAACGACCCACTTGTTATGGCTTGAAGCCTCATTTGCTAGAGTGCGCAACTGTTAATTACGTGGAGACATTTTTATGGGGCTCAGTCACAGTTTTGGTTTCAAGGAGTGCTCAGTGAAGTGGGACCATGTGTTTTTTTCCTTTTTGTAAACAGTGCTGGCCCTTTATTCTGCAGAACAGTGATGAACATCATTCTGTGGCAATGCGTATACAAACCTGTGACGCAGGTAGTTGTCAGTTGTTTATATTATTACCAAAGTGATGTCGATGTCACGGGGAGGTCTGTATTGTGCTTAGATGCATGGCATACAGTTTCAAATTGATTTGAAATATGCTAAGAGTTTTTATTTGTGGATGTTTTGTAGATATTGTGTGTGTATCTACACAAATTTATCTCACAAGGTATCGTGCTGCCGAATTTTATGTCTGTACCTCTTTAATTTATTTTAATCTCAAATGCTAAAAAATGCATCTTAAATATGCTTCATGTTCCTTACATCAGAATATGTCACTAATATTTTTGTTTTTCTCGCCACAATTGAGCACCAGGAATATGTAACCCCAAACTTTCTGGAATGGTGAAGATTCTATAGTCACACCTGCCAGCCATCCTAAATTTTCCCGCTTTTGAGTGGTGGCTTTTCACATAATTTCACGTATGTTTCATAGATGTTTGATGAAATAAGTTTTTTATAAAGCCTCACTTCTCAATCTCCAACTATACTCTTGCAAGTATGCTGGCTGTGAAAGGGCACAAGAGTAATTAATACTTGCTTTAAGAAGGTTTATTGAAATATCTTCAATAAGCAGGCAAAGTGTGCAACAATGAAGTCTTGAACATAGTGGAGAACACTATTGCTTGTTGTTGTTCGTTATCTCTATTGTTTTGTGCATAAAGATAAGTCATGGTTTATGATGTGCATGTGCACCCTGCAAAACCTGTTTACTCCAAAATAATTGTTTTCGATTGTGGGCCTCGGTACTGGTGTCCTTATTATGGTGCTTTTCTGAACCAAAAAGTTCACAGGTATCTATTGTTGGATTCCAATGGTGAAGTCGGGGCAAGTTTTTCTGCTATTTTGAAGCAATTGTGTTCCTATAGCAGAGTGAGGGTGAAAGTCAAGTGCGCTCTCTTTAACACATTCATGCACTCTCTTTAACACGTTCGCACACTTGGGGGCACCACCGCTGTCACATGTTTTGCGACAGTTCCAAGTCGGTAAGCTCCAGTTCCTGTGCAAGCAGTTAATTGGATCATGTCACCCACACTGAAACCACTACGCACGAGCAGCAATTCAGCAGAATATGACAACGGAATCAGCAGAATGTAAAAACTACATGCAAGGTATTCTGGGCAGCTTAGGGACTTTCATTTCTTTCTTGCTTCTATGCTTACTACGGTGGCAAAAATTGTATTCCAATCGCGGTTTCGTAGGTGTTGCTTCGTGCCAGAGTCGAGTGCTCGCTCACGGAATCCATCAGCTGCTCCGACTCTGCGATTGGAATTCAACATAAGAGTTAAGCAGAATGACTTGTTTGGCGAGTTAGTTCATTCTTAACGAGCTTATGGCGCAAAAAAAAAAAACATGAAAAAGACAAGCGCTTGTCCTTCTCTTGTGTTTTTAACTCTTTTAACTCTTATTAATGTGCTGTACGCTTGTTAATAAGAGTTGACTTTTCTGTGATGTGTGACTGACTTTGGGCCATGAATGTAGCACTGGAACCAGCACTCACAAGGAAGAAGAAGCACCCGGAGGTAGCATATCGGACGAGCGACATCTTGGGCACCGACGGGAGTCACCATCAGGCGGCGGCTGCGGGATCAGCCGAAGCAGTTACCCGTGACAGCAACGACCACTGCTACAGGGCAAGGGTCAGTTACCACCTGCTCTCTCTTATTGTTTGAGCAGTTTAGAAGCACCTCTCAGCGGTGCTTGCTGTACATGATCTGAAGTGTTCATGATTCATGGTTCTGAATGGCTGCACTTGTTTCGCCATAGGTTAACCCGTGTGTAGATCCTATTAAGGCCGTGACCCATAAATCACAAGCTTAAGACACCCAAATATTCAGACATATGTAGGGTGCTGAAGCTTTTGCCTAATTAGGAAAGGTAAACCATGAAGTACTTGATGATTAAAAACATTCAGCATCTATGTCATTTTCTGCAAATGGAGATGCACATTCTTTTTTCTTTCACGCTTTGCTATCTGAAGCGTCCATTTTCGCAAGCTTTCATAACGTGTCCACCTGTATCTCAAACAAGGTATTTCGTAGAGTTATCTCCTCTGGCAATTTACATGTCAGCAAGAACGTAGCTTTTATCAAGCACAATTTTTGCACTGAGCCGTTTTCCACCCTTTAGTGGAACTGGTGGCCCATCTTTTGTCCCAGATTTTTTTCTTAGATTTATGTTCCTTCAGAATCTATAATTCAATTGCAGTCGATTCTAGAGGAAGAATCAGCTGAAGGCCAAGTCAAAGTTGTCTATTCAAAGGCACATAAAGTCCTGGAATGCTGCCATTAGGCAACTGGTTTTAATTGGGGTTTGTTGCTCCATTATCATATTATAGTTCTGGCAAAGAAAATGCAAAACTTAAAATTTCTTAAAAGCACATCCTTGCAAGTTGCTTTCGTTTTAAAAGGTATGCTGAGGTATTGCGAGAAAAAATGTGTGTCTTTAGCTGACTTTTGTTTCCGCTTCATGACCTGTTCCATATAGCCGTCAACATTAAAGAGGAAAATGATTTTTCGCATATTAGTAAAGTGAGGTTTCACAATCTCGAAAACACCACTCTTACTATTACGTGACGCTTGGTAAGCGAAAAAACGCATGAAAAGAAAATGTGGGTGGAAACATCACTTTGAGATTCCTCTACCAAACATCGTGATGTCATAGATCTTTAACGTGTCTTTTAGGTCCAGCGTAGCTTGTAATTGATAGCCATGACAATATGAAGTACATTGCTATCTGCGGGTGCCATAGACCTAGCATACGAAGTTTCAAGAAATTTAGTCGAGCCAATGTTGCAAAAATACACAAAATACATTTTGAAGTGTTTGATGTCACTTAAGGAGATTTCGGTGCGAAATTTAAAATATGACTTCAACCTTGATTTTCTCTGCTAATGATGAACTTATGATAGTGAGACATATGGCATTAGAGTTCTCAGAATGCAATTTGTCAATCTAAACCAGGTCATTCTTCCTTCTTCGTGTCCCTTTAATTGAAATGAAAAGACGTAAAAATAGACTGTTGCACGACTTCGTGTGTTCACATATGTCAACCTTGGCAACATTGACTTTCTACGTAGTATAGTATATTTAGAAACTGACCGTTATGCAATGAAGCACGTGTAATTACGGACAGAAAAGAATAAAGCAATATGATAGCTTTTTTTGCTTTTTCATCTCAAACTCAATTCAGACAGTACACAGGTAGAGCAAACCACCTTCCTGGGTTAGGGCTTTGTCACGTAATGATTCATTAGGCAGGGCAGGTGCACACGTCGTCCAGAGGGTAGTTGGTGTGGCATTCAATGGAAGTGCTCCTACCCTCACTAAGTGCAAACAACATTGACCATTTTGCTCCCCTTGTGGGAAGTGGCAAAAGGAGAGGTTGTGATGTAATGAGTGAGAGAAGGAGAGTGAGTGACAGAGGGTGAGGGCAACCATGTTGGAAGGCCTGGAAGAATGGCTCTTAGAAGTTAAAGAGTAATGAGAAGTCAAGAAAGGAGAGGGCGGGGAGGCATGGCATATTGGGTGCGTCTGCTTTAGTCGGTCGGGTGTGTCTGCCTCTGAGGTCACGCATTGCATCGGCAGTGGGGAAGGGACCGGCGGGTAAGGGGAAGAAAGGTAGAGGCTCGCCGCCTGCCAGGTGTTTCACTCGGAACTCAACCTTTGTGCGAAGGAACACATAAAAATCAAAGATGGGGCTGGGCTTCTCAGCGTTCTATTTTTTTGTTTATTCTAGGTTTTGTTTGTGTCTATGCAAAAGGTTTTGTTTGTGTTTTGTTTGTTAGAACAAAAGGTTTTGTTCTAGGTTTTGTTTGTGTCTATGCTTTTGTGTCTATGCAAAATGAAAGAGAGACAGTTGCTTCATATAAATTACTCTGAAATGTAGAGCTCCTGATGCATATCTATCACTGTCCATCATTCAATAGTTATAAATTGAATTCTTCAAAGCGTGGCTGCTCCAATCAAAGGATATTAACCCGTGTAGCACCATTCTGTCCTGGGCACAGTCCTTCCGTTTAGCTCCTCTTCAGTCTAACTTGCATGGCTGTTCTTAGTGCACCATTGTTCCTTATTTCACAGAAGAAAAAAAAAATGGAAGGAAAGAGAGAGAGGAGGAGTGGGAGAAGAAATTGAGGTTCATGTTTTTTTCTCGCTTGCCTTCACAAACCACCTCTATTTCTGCCTTCTCCATAAAAACAGAATAAATAAATAAAAATGAAGAGAGACACTCACACCTTGTTTCTTTTTGTCCTTGAGGATAATGCCCTCCCCTTGCTCTCTACCAGTAACTAATGGAGATGCCCAGGCTGGAGAGCAGCTGAAAAAAAAAAAAAAGGAAGATAAATATAGGGGAAGGGAGCACAATGCTTTTATTTTTGTACTCGTGTGGTAGAGGAAGTAACGGGACATAATGTGTTGGCTGACTCCATGGCATTTATCATTAGGGTGGGTACATATTTGGCTTTCACATTAACCACTTTTGTTTTATTCTGCCAGTTGCGAGGTGACGAGGAGGAAAGGAGGAAGAAGGGGGTATGGAACGAAAACAATGATAAAATGAAATAAAACGTGAGGTTCGCCGAGCAGCAAGGCACTCCCTCGCAAGACTGCTCAGTGTGATGACAGGGCTCCCCTTGTCCAGCAGCATGCGATTACATACTACAGTTAGATGCTAGTGAAAGTGCACTGTTATCGCCGCAAACTCAGGAATGTTGATTGCACGCGTAGTGTTCTTCACCTGTGGACAAGTAAGCTTTATTGCTTTTAATTATCATTGCAGATGCTTTCAATTGTTTAGGTATGGTTTTATTATAGGTTGATGACCTTTTAGGGTCAGTACGAGTTATAGTACTCCTTAAAATTTTGTTCTTTTTTTGTAGCTTTTATTGTTTTCTGACCAGCGTTGATTGAAGTCAGGGTACCGGTACATTGTGTTAATATATTGCCTGGGGTGCGAAAAATATCTCAGGGCGAAACTTTGTCTACATTCATGTAATGCTTTTATTGTGGTCAGCATAGCTATGGCAGTTCAACAAACATTTTTACTTATCACTGCCTTCTGGTCTACAGTCCATGCCTTTATTTTTGTGAGATTACTTGTTTGCATTTAAAGGGGTAGTGCCACCAAATTTCGAGGCTATCCCAAGCCTCTTGTGGGTTTTCTCTTTATACAAGGACTCTCCACACGAAGGGTTGGACACCACAAATGTGTAGAATATATTTTAATTCACTAAAAGTGTAACTGAATGCTCACTCTCGTGATCTAGGCCCATCGCTTGTGCAGCAACATTAACAGTTCAGAATAGGAGAAGCAATGGCAGTTGTCGTGACGTCACACCAGATCTGTAGTGATGTGAGCAACCTCCGCCATCTCCGAAACGAGCGTACCCAACGTACCAGCAAAACATCGGTTGCTCTATTACTCGCCAATTACTTGCTGTATTAGTCGCTGTATTCGGTCGCTTCTTTGCTAAGTGCTACGCATCAAAATCTGCGAAGGCATTCAGTGTTTTGTTGCCGCTTGTGTGGCAAGTGTGTGTGAGAGTAGACAAAATTCAGGACGATGTGCGCCACAGCCTTGTGTGGTCACGTGACCAAGCCACCTATGCATCGACATCACTGCCCAACCTGGCGCCGCAAAACTGAAACCGAAAATGGTCCACATAAGTAGAGCAATGCCAAATTATTTAGCTAAAATAAACGAATCTTGGTGTATTTATCATGCTTCTTGGAGCTGTAAGGAAACACTTACAGCAAAGAACATGCATGCCAAAAAATTTGATGGCACCACCCCTTTAAGTAGCTGCTGAGGTGCTGTGGCAAATTTCGAAGTACCAGGAAAAGGTCAATAATGTTTATATGAAAAGAAAAGCTTTTGTAATTTTGGCGGATGTCACACATTCCAGTGTGTGACATTGGCCTTTAATAGTTTCTCTCAATCTTATGGCTGGAACCAAATCTACATGGAAGCATGCATGGTGTGATCCATTCTTTTGTTTGTACTGGCTGGGCTGTGTAAAGTAGTGCGTTCTAACTTTTTTTTATGCAATAAGCGCAAAAAAACGCAGCCAGTATGGGGACAATATACACCTCTAACATTTACTGGTTCATCCTGGCATATTTTATCAGTGCAACAGTTCTATCTTAGTGTCTGCAAAAGTAGTGCAGCGATCGTGGTATCTGCAATAACATTATTTCCATGCTTTTATCAGGGATATAGACCATTCTCTGTTTTCTTTCTGTATGTGCTTGCAGCTGCCATCAACAAAAACTGCAACACGATGGCCACGTTCAAAGTGGCCCCGACCATACGCAGTAATGTCGACATAGCCAAAATTGAGTGCTGTTCTGATTACTGGCACTTCCTTAGTTAACCACTTTTAAATTTGGCCCCTTGGGACCCACTTGATTGTTGGCACTATGTTTCGGTTCATATTAAGCACTACTATGCACTCAGGCATACGTATACATCTTACGTGCACGAGCACATTATAAATATTGGTTCTTCTTGACGCTTCTGTGTGTACTGGGTTGTTTGGGAGCAATGTGCGGATGATGCTGGTTTTATAAGGAATGCTGCTGGGACCAGTGGCCAAGTGTCCGCATGCAGTGTGTTTGCCACTATGTTTCTCAAAGCATTAGTTTGTTCAGTGTAATGCAAGTGCAAGTTGGAATATTAATTCCTTCACTGTCACTTTGCACAGCCCGGCGAGCGGTCGGACAAATCCAAGGTGGGCTCCCGAAGCAGATCTGCAGACCCCAGCCTTGGCCGTGGCAGGCCTGTCATGGTACGTGTTGTGCTTATGTTCTGAGTCAGTACTGTAGATTCCAAATGGGTACTGTAGCACGATACAGTGGAACCTCTTATTCAGACTAAGAGAACGGCGATGCATTGGACGTTGACCTTTCATTTTGGGTCTGTCTAGAATTCGGGCCATTAGGGAGAAAAACTTGGAAGGAATAACTTCGTGTAGGTCTAGAAGATCAAACTTGCTGAACTTCTGTTTCGCCAACTAGTCAATTAGAGTTATCTACGGATTGAATTAAAGAGGTCTTCCATAACCATGTCATTTTCTGGAAATTTTACCACATACTTCTTGAAAATTGTTCATATAGTAATTGTAGGGGTTAATTTCACAAGTAAAAATGTCACGTTTATGTGTATGCACATGCATGAAAATAAACATAGGAGGTGGGCTTTTCCCAAGTTTTGTTTTACTTTGACCCAAACATAGTGCACATAGATTTATTCCGAGCCTGTACATTCTGTTGAGAATTATGTCGGATACATAGAAGCAAGGACAGCATTGCCTCAACAATACATGCCAACCCTGTCATTTTCACAAGATTTAAGCAATGACAGTCCATGCAACATGACGTTTACCTATATAGGAAGTTGTGGGGCTTAGCTGCACAGTAATGCCAAAAGAAAAGCGCGTGGCATGAATGGTTCAAAAAAAACATTTGCTGGAGTGCTGTGTCAAGATAGCCGTGCGAAGTGATAGATCATGAGCAAGTGAAGAGTTAAACTTGTTCACGTGGTTTTTCAACTTGTCTTTTGAGCTACACCCCACATTGCACTGCTTCTCTTTTATAACCGTGTGCAGCTTGTAAGCTGTGTTCAAACATTTCATGTCGTTTCTGTTTTCCTTAATGTGTCTTCATATTTATAGCTTAACTGAGCACGCTGCGATACCTTCTGTGGTACTTTCAACAAGAACAAAAAAGAGTTGTTTTTATGTAGTCTGTTGCTGCAATTTGCATAGGCTTGTTACAGCCTACTAAATGGTGAGAATGGAGCAGAGTGACAAGTGCGTACACTTGCCAAACAAGAATTTTCTTTCTTTTCTGCAGAGGAAACTGAATTCTAGATGCTACCTAATTTTTTTTTCACTTGTAGCTCATATTGTTTGAATAATGGGTGCTGTGTGCATGATGCATTTAATATTTACCAGTGAATTCAGTACTGGCATTTTGTAATTATTTTTCTTCTACTTTTGTAAATTTTTGTTTCCATATGTAGTATGAAATCAGTAGATGTCTCCTTGATTACCAGGCTACTAATTGCTATTACTCTGCTCGTGAATTTTGGAAATGATTGTCTCTTACGTGTGCGTCACATAGCTCAGGTACTAGACAGTAGGCGCAAATATGGTAAAGGCTCATATAAAGCATTACTGGTTGGTAAACATGCACTGGTTTGTAGCTCTTCACTTTCTTTCGAACAGTGAACATGTTGTTGAGGCTGTGATGAGTGCCTGATTTATTTATTTATTTATCAATTCTCGTTACTTATTCTCCTAGAATAAGTAACGACTCGTTAATGACTCTCATTATTTAAAGCCTAGAATTATATTATTGCCAGCTACCTTACGCATAAGGTACTGTCAAATGCATAGTCTGTCAAAGCAGGGAAAGGTCTGCTGTTACGAGTATGCTTTTGCTACAAGGAGTTCATGAATTCTTTCTACTACAAGGAGGAACGTTGTTTGTGCATTGATTGAAAGTAAGCAGGAGCTTCTGCTCCCTTGCATCACATTTTCAGAGCAAAGAAGAGTGTTGTGCGGAAGGCCCCATGAATGGGGGTTGTGATGGCACCAGCCCAGAGGTAGGGGTGCGTTGTCACCAGCAGAACAACATAGCATGTGCATCATCAGGGAGAGGCTGGCTTTCTAACCGCTACTACTCGCTGCTTGCTTCTGAGTTTGCCCATTAATAGGCCCAGTGGAGACCCGCCTACTGTAGGTAGCATAGCCAACTTTCTGCAGGGCATACCCTCTTCGGAAAGCCATAGGAAAGGGGAATTTATTTAATGAGTGCATTCTTTACCTGATTTGTTCACTTCTGTTGACTCGTTGTGACTCGTTGTGACTTCTGGGTCGGTCTGCCTGTATTGTTAGTGGCTATGCTACCGGGTGGCAGTGTTTATTTGCAAGCCTTTACTGTCATTGCCTTCACACCGGCAGTTGTGATAAGAAGAGCCTAGACTGTTGAAAAATCATTTTAGTGGCATAAATGTGCCTTCAGTTTGTCGCAGACTCATTTTTAATACTCTGAGGTGTTTCCTTATGTGAGTGGTATATTACTGAGCAGCTGCTCATTACATTAGTTGGACTGAACTCTACAATTTGTTACAAAAAAGTTTGCTGTGTTCATGGGAGTGACTAAGGCTTCATATATATGTTGCAAAAAATGACAGAGTTAAAGTACTCTGGCAGTATAAAGCTTGCTGTGTTAACGAGCTTGCCTCTCACTAACAGGGGAGTTTCACTAACTTACCGGTGAGTCTCATGGTGTCAAATCTAACAACAACCACTCAGTGGGCTGGCTGTGGTCTTTCGTTGGCTTTGCTTTTTGCCTGGCTTGTGATAAAACTGCTTGCAGCTGTATGAATGTGTGAAATGGAGAGCTTTTTAGAATGTACCTGGTAAGCATGCTCCAGGTTGTTTGCAGGCTGTAAAGGCCATGCAGTAAAAAATAAATAAATAAATGTTGCCTGTAAGGATTCACACAGGCATGTACTGCCAGCATAAAGTGAAGCCCAAATAAACAAACAAAAGTTGCAACGACACAACCCATGCTTCATCAACCTATAATGATATGCGCAATCAATCTGGAGCCGATTTCTTAACGTAGTTCGGTCCCAGCATTCTCGATACCGAATTAAGGAGCAGCTACAAGCAGGTTAACGCGGGGGTGTAGCAATACATCCTGGTCATTTTTTTTTTACTTATTTGTATTTGAAATCATGCTGGCAGTATGCGCTTAGGACACTTTCTTAAAGATCTCATTGTTCAAGAGCATCCAACCTTATCAGAGTACAGACTCGTGATGTTTGCAAATGTTGTTTAAACTAAGTGGAAAAAAAAAATTCTCGGTTTTTGTACATATTTCAGATTAATTTATACTACCAAAGAGATCTGATATGAAAGAAAAGGTGTGGAGAGTAAAACTGCATTCACTTTTTGACAAACTTGGGCAAAATTGGTTGCAGGACTGCTGGGAGTTGCTGGTGCGAGCCTCAACAGAAGATTATCTGTCATGCAAATAAGAAGTGTAATCAGTGGACTTAAGGAAAAAAATTATATTGTCAAGATTAATTAGCTTGAAAGTGTGACAAATGTATCATTATGCATTTGGTGATGCATTATTTTAGCATAAGGCCACATGCTTAGAGTGACCCAAATTAATAGTGTCTTCACTATTTTGACAGTATATCTCTTGTATCTTTAACTATTCAAATATGCTGATATTATGGGGAAAGGGGTAAAGTTGACCTGCAAATAAACAGAACCAAGAGTGGTTTACATTACTTAGTGGGTTTAGTACACTGATATAAATGAAGTAACTTTGGGAACTTTGAATAATTGGCCTCCTAGTGTGCATCCCAAAACTCCTAAATTGGTATCAGCGTACAAGTGTGTGAGCAGATAGGCAGCCCAGCCGGTTTTGATTGAATGCCTCTGTGTGTTCTTGCCACTGGCAGAGCCATGGTGATGAGGCTCCTTGTAAGACAAGCGAGTACAGGGCTGCCTTTGCCTGGCCACCCAAGCCTTCTCTGCCTCCGGCCACCAGGGATGTCATCGGTATGTACCGCGTCCTAAATCTCAGTGTGATGTTATATTGGAAAATTATACCAAAACAGCCATTCGGGCTAGTTAGGAATTGTTAATGCAAGAAGTGGGGTGTAGTACGTAACAGGGATTAGAAAAGAGAACAACACAATGCAGAATTATCAGCTCTCAATTATCAGTAATTCACACAGGCAACAACACATGTGCACAAGTGAAGGGGCACAATTATCAGTTTTTTTTGTGTGTGAAATCAAAGGCTAAGCCCTCAGGAGAGCCTAGAATATGTACTGGTAAGCATGAGTGCACACTAAAAAAAGAACCATAATATGTTTTTGATAATGCGTTTTAGTTCCTTTTGTACCCTGATGTCGCAGCACGGTATGAGCTACTCGTCACGCGCTCGCGTAAGGTGTCATGACATTTTTGTGGCCACTTCGCTCCATGACGGTGTTGGTGATACACAAGCGCCTATATGTGAATGTTTTGGTACTTGCCGTCATCACATTGAGCTACACTGAAGTGTGTGACATCACGGTAGTGTTGATTCAGTAAGTGCACCATGCAAAATCAACTTTAAGATCTAAATATAATATCAGCATTCACTGAGCTTCACATTTCCTTAGAGCCGTTTATGTATACAGGATATATTTATGGCAAAGTAGACCCATCTGCGAAAGTTGGTCTCAGTAATCTTTTAATCATGAAGAAATGAACAGAAAAAGAAGCAACATGATTCATGTTGGCTTCTCCAAATCTCTACTTTCTCCATTTTCTCCTGTATTGATGTAAGTTTGGCTTAGAATGACAGAAGGTTGAGCTTGTTTCTTGAGATTCATCACAAATGAAAGTTGTGTAGATATGCATAGATGGTTTATTCTCTTCTGCAAGTGTGTCCATAGGCCTTGCCTTCTTTCATGATAAATTTGGCTGTTTAGGTCAAGTATTTGTCATCAAAATGTAATGGTGTAGTGCAGTGTAGCTTAAAATGTTACTCTCGTCAAGCAAGAGAATGCATTTGAGAAAGAAAACTTGGAGCACTTCATGCAGAACAAAAAAAAAAAAAAAGAAAGAAACAGTCGTTGAGGTACTTTTATTGCCACAGCTTAGTCATGTATGAACAAGTCATGTGATCAAAATGGTAGTGCGTTTAAACTTTTACCCATTTCGAATTAAGAAAATTGGGTATTGATTTAGACGCACTTTCAAGAGTTGTCAACTGCTTCAGTGAAATCTCTAGGCGGACTTCTTTGTCATAACCGAATCGCTCTTTTTGCCTGGTCTATACATTGTTATAACTCATATTTTTCGTAAATGCAGATGGCCCACACCGAGCTGAGCCCATGGAGAGGTTGTTGCCTCGAGACGACACCTCCCATGAAGTCAAGTAAGGCGTTCATATTTTCTGATAGTAGTGGCTGTTGTATGGCAGAAAGAGGGCCCTTGTGCATGCCAGTGTTGTAAATTCTTATATACCATTCCACGAATTGCCATGTTACACCAAGTCTGTAAATTTCAATAACTGGTTTGAAGCATACTAACTACAACCACATTAACAAACTGTCCTCGTCAGTTTGCTTATGTGTGTTCATCTCTCGCAGAAAAACGACCAATAGAACAGAATACAAGGCTAAGTTCAAGCCTTTCTCATCCTACATGTACATCGATGGCAGCTGGAAGAAGCCAAGGGCAATTGTGAGTGTACCAAACTCTCTCTTTAATTTGTTTTATTGATTTCTCATTCATTTTGATGATTAGTACTGCCTTTTTTAGCAAAAGCTTTCGAGTGTTGCTTGCATGAATGGAGTTCCCAGCAGTCAGGTGTGGTTTCTGATAGACTTTGGTAATTTTCGTTTTTTTTTTTCATAATTTAAAATGAAATTGAAGGTGTATCATGCACTGTTTTGTTATCTTGTCATCATTTTTGCGCTGTATAAGCCTTTTACGAAAAATGCAATACCACTTAGTCCACGTCATTCTGTTGGCTAGCAACAAAACTAAGGCTCTTTAGTAATCGCGCTCCACATGTTCAGTGCGTCTGAACTTGTAAACGTTGACTACCGCAAAACAACCATCACAAAAGGAAGACACTCATAAACAGGACTGGCGCTAGTCCTGTTGCTTTATGCTTGTTGAAATGTACAAGTTTATTTGCCATCAACTTGCTCAAATTTTTATGTTGTAGTCAAAGTGTGTCGGTCGCATAAGAACTTGCATTTAAAGCAAGTCGCGCCCTGTTGCCTCGCGCCCAGTTGCCTGTACTCCTAAACATTGGACATGTCCACGTTTTCCTCGTTACTGCTTTCAGATGCCAGATGCTCCCCCCATGGTGGACCCAAACCAGTGGTACACTGAGGTGGTGGAGCGACTGCACATGGCTGATGAATACCGCAGCCGGTCACGTGCTGGCGCGCTACAGACAATGGGACCGACTGCATCGCACAGGACGACCACACTGTGGGCCAAACTGGACTCCAGTGCAAGCCTCGCTGCCTTGGCTCTAGCACACACGCCAAGGCACGTTTTTTCGTTAGCAATCATTATTGTCATATACATCAATGCAATCAACTCTGTCTGCATGCCTGCTTGCCTAAAGCCATGTCAATGGATTTGGGCGAGACTGTTCAGTGATCCATCAGAATGACAGATGACCAAGCTGTTGAAGGTTCACAGGACACAAGAACAGCAATTGAGTAGGGAAGACAAATTTTAACTGTCAGCATAAATATTGCACAGATGCACGGAGGTGAAAAAAGAAAAGGGTTGTGGTAATATTGATCATATGGATGTGCCTCAACGTGCGCACTTTTAATTTGTAAACAATGCATTTTTTACATGAATAGACACATTTGCAAATGTTAAAGTCAATTTTTTTGTATACCTAGCATTAAAACTTCTCGCTTGTCAAACTCTGATTCACTTTCTTAATTTCTGCTGGCATGTCCATCTCACTGTCTTTGTGTCTCTCTAAAATTACACCTGTAATTACTCAGCAGATGGCAAAAGTTATTAATACGGTTTCCAAATTTTGCAATTCTGCAGGCTAAGCTCTGCAAAGACACCTTCTCGGGAACGACCTACTCCAGCTTCTCTTCATCGATCTCAGTCTGCTAAGAGGAGAGAGAAGACAGATGCTGAGTAAGCACCTACTGGGATGTTTGTGTTAGCTCTGTCTTGTTTCAGAACAAGAACTATTTACATCTTGGGAACGTGCTTAAAGCTACCTCTTTGCAATCCACATTAGTATTATTAAACTTACTCTAGTATAAACTAAAGTGGATTTTTCTAACACTCAGAAAGCATATTTGTTCACATCCATTCTGTAACTATGTGCTTTGAGTATATACGTTGGTAATGAATACAAACGGCATAAGTATGCCAAGTTCAATCCTATAATGATCCTAATTGACTGCTGTTCAACAAGTAAATGCAGTGCTTATGATCAGATGTATATATATGATAACACAAAACAAGCATATTATGCGTTATTTGCCTCCTTGTTTGACAACGACATTATGTTGGGCATCAGACTGTTTTGTCCAGCTGGAAAAGAAAACACAAAAAAAGCTGTTGCATAATTTATGGTCCTGTTCAAGCAGGCTGGTTCTTGCCATATGCCATAGGCAAAAGAAAAAACAAAGCCACTGCTCAACTTACACCTAATTTTCTTTATAGCACGTCAATATTACCTAGCTGCTAAAGTCATGTGTTCAATGCCTTGTGTGTTGTAAAGAAAAACAAAGCGTAGTTTTCCTACAGATATCTGTTTTTGTGTATTGCGGGCCATACAAAGTACAAATGACTCCCTTGTTTAGGGCTGGCCGCTCTACCGATTCTTCCGAGAAGAAGAGCCCGACAAAAGCAGTGTCTCCAGTCAAAGCCGAAGGTGCGTTGAACAACAGCGAGCTTGCAGGTTTCTTTTTTGTGACCTTATTGGATGGAAGCATAACTGTCACATTTTATTAAGTATCACATTTTGTCTATTGTCTTTATGATATTGAATGTACATTAAAATGAAACATTAGGAGTTTCTCTTTGAGATCCTTATTGTCAATAATTTCACCTTCACAGGTCAGCTATAAAATGAGAAAATGAAAGTTATAGTTTCATGTTTGTATTTCGCTGCTAAACTTCAGCATGTGATCGCCACAGTGACGTCACAAATTCGGCAGCTTGCATATTTTCGCTACAGTGGTTCAATGAGCTTTTCTTCAGTTTACTGTGTTCAGACTTTGTGTCCCCAAGACTACTATGTGAATAATATTTAGCAACAAGCGGTTACACAGGCCCTAGAAAATGCTGTCCGGATTGATGACGTCACAGTGAGCTGTTGCAGAAACTTCACAATGTTGTTGCCACCTTTGTTTTTCTTTTTGTGCATTTTCTTCCTTACCAAGCGTCCTCTCGCATTAAAAGTGGTGTTCTTTATTGTTAAAGGATAATTTACTACTATGAAGAAAATTGTTTGTTTTTTTTGTGTGTGTCTCTTTACACTGTCTTTTCAATTGATAGGTTTGTGGAACAGCCTTTTATTATGACTTGATAATTCATTGTGCTGAAGTACTTCAATCGTGGTATCACTTCCTTAGATCATGGCTCGCCAACTGTAATGTGACCTTACTTATTTTTCATTGCCGCTGCAATTCACTTTCCAGTGTTACTAGCACAAGCTTTCTGATCACATGAAAAAATCTACTATTTTTCCCTCTTCTGTTCTCGGTGCAGTGTTCATGACTCTGTATTACAGTAGCAGGCAGACAAGGCTGTGCCTTACTCATTTCCTTTGACCTTGGTTTACGCTGTTTTGAATCTGTTACCATTTTATGCATCAGCAGGTAATCAACGCAAGGCTTCTCCGGCAGCCAAGACTGCAGCTCGGCAAAAACAGACGTCACCGAAAACACCAGGTGCGGAAGCTTTGAAACTGTAAAATGTTCTTGCAGTGATGCTGATGCTAGTATCGACATAGTACTAGTTGATGAGGGATTTATTTCATTGGAATATCTGCCGTGCATTGGTGCCAACAATAAAACACACACTCGTAGTATAGATTGTGCAGTGTGCATCCAATTAGTTTCTTTTATAAAATGAAGTCATAGAACAAGATTGGTTGAACACAACAGGCATTAAAGGTGTGATAACACGCAGCTGAGAAATTAAGATATTCTGAAACTAAATCATGTTTTTCGCTACATTGCAATGTCAAGAAATTTAGTGAAGTACATTTAGCACATATAGCATACTCCTTTCGAGAGAGTGGTTGAAGTACATTGAAATTGTGTTCAAAATAATGATGCAATTAGTTGATGCAATTAATGATGCAATAGATGACAAATTAAATGTTCTTGAAGTGTTCAGGTTACTAATATATTAACTAAACCGAGTTTGTCATCATGAGAGCTTATTGTAGCACAGATCCCATCTGTGGTACAATTTCATCTTTTGCATAATTCATTTTATGCTCAAAAGTAGAAAGCACTATCAAGGCTAAGGTTTTGTTTTGTTTGTGTGTTTTATCACTGACTGTGCACATTAACAGCATATTTCTGGGTGATCGCATGTGCAAAAACATGTTGCAATATTTTGTATTTACACTCCAAACCATTGTAGTGAACCCGTGTATAACGAAGTATTGGTTATAATGAAGTCAATAAAAATTAGTCTTGCAATAGCTACAATGTTAGGAATATACCTTTATAACGAATTTTCGAATGTAACATACTTATTTTCGTGTAAGATGCAATTTTCTTATAACGAGGTCTGAGTGTAATTCTCGTTAACCATGGTTGTGTGTAGAACTGCAGTTTGAAGTCTTAAGCGAGGTTATGCACATTTTTACCATGCAGCAAGGCATGACGAAGATGGAGCAAAGACAACTGCTTCTTCGCGAGCTAGGGCTGCTTCATCCCCACCCCAAAGGCGCACACCACTAGCTGAGGCTGACAAAAAGGACGATAAGAAGACAGGCAAGTACAGTGGGCAGGAAGAATGGCAACCTATTTCATAAAACCATCTCGAACCATTAAATCGCTTATCAAAAGTACTTTTCGGGCAGCTATACAGCCATACAGCTCGTATTGTCACTGTAAAAATTGGTTTTAGCGAGGTTATGTTGAAAGTTGACCCAAATGGTTGTTTCAGGTTCTTCGAAATGATTCATGCCTTGTTTTTTCAGATTTCTTATTGCAGTCACATACCAATATGCTTTATATTAAAGATAGTGTGCTGGTCCTGCCTCTTTTTCTATTGCTAGATGCACCCTTGGAAGTTCTCTTTTCCTAAATACTTCAGTGGCAGAGTCGTTTGGTTTTTAATATTCACATCCCCCCAAATGCTGCCCTCGAATAACTTTGCGCTTAAAACTGTGATGTAACTGAGCGATGGATTCATTTATTTATGCTAGAAGACGATTTTACATCAGAGAAGCCTAAGCAGTGCACTTGAAATATTGAATGCAATGCTTCCTTTAGGGACTTCAAGACCCCGGCGTCCACTGCAAGAGAGTGCTGCACCCCCTGCTGCGAAACCCCGGGCTGTGGTCCGGCCAGCGTCGGCTGCTGTCAATGAGCAAGATGGCAAGATCTGGCTCAAGCCACAGGGCAAGCCGGAGGGAGAGGAAGCGGCCGGCAAAGAGCAAGATGGAATAGGTACACCACCACAAAACAAGAACTTGGTGATAACCATCGTCATAAGTGCTCCTTTGCATTCTTCCTAATTAAAAATTGTTATCATTGCATTACCAGTTAGCTGCTACTGATGGCATTCTGCAACTCGCTGAAACAAGGCTCATTGCCTTCAGACTCTGGTTTAAGTTTCTTTTGCTCACTCGCGGTGTTGCTCATATTCTTTTTTTTTTTCTATAGTGCTCTTCAGTGTTCTGTATTGTGATCCTGTGCATTTTCATTAACTTAAATTTTCTTCGTATACATTAACATTTCAACTGCTGGTACAGTATGTACAGTGCAACATAAGATGAAAATAATAGGCACACTTTTTTTCATACTAGGTGCACGGGAGGCATTCGCCACTGAAAATTTCAGAAACCAGAGGCCGTCAGATGGCGTGTAACCTTTGCAAATGCGTTTCCACTTTAGTTCTGATGAATGCATGCTACCAAGAGACCTCTAGTATTGAAATCACTTTCCGAGTTCACATGGCAAAAGATAAGATAGCGTGACGCTCACATCTGGTGGTGATGTAGGCAAGGCGGAGGATGCTGGCGGTGGCGAGGACGGTGTGCTGGTGCCCCCGGCAACGACACCGGCCGAGAGTGTGGAGGCAGCCACTCCCGGGTCTGGCTCAGAGCGCAAGTCAGATGCAGTGCGCCCCAGCAGCCTGCCACCCATGAATGGCTCCAGTGCCAGCTCTTCGGCCCTGGCTTCAGCCGACATGGCCAGTACGTAGTACAGCATTGGCTTGTTCCGTTGTAGCAAGGATTTACGGGAATGTTTGTGCATGTGTGTGTGTACGTGAGTGCGTGCGCATGTGCAATCGCCATCTTGGGGGTTATAGAAAATGCACTAGTGCTGTCCTATGTACAAAGGCCATGGAAAAAAAAAAAACATGAACTGCACGGGATGCTGTTTTCTTTGCACTGTGACCTAGGCGGCAATAAAAATATGCTATAGTGGTTCTTGATTGCATCATGGGTGACTGCAGTGGCTTTTTGTTAGCATCCAGGCTACAACTGCTTGAATGCGTAGATTCCCACCGTTTGCATTTCTTTCCATTGCGACAGTACACCAGACATAGTGCTCCTCTGTTGAAGGAGCTTAGTGTGCTAAAGCATTTGTGTGTGATCACAGGATTGAACTGAAGTTTCTTGAAGCATGCGCATAGAAATGTCGATTATAGCATATCTGATAGTATGACCACTTGTGTTGGGCAAAAAACATCGTACTTCTTGTGTCATCAGGAATAAGACTGATTGCTACCTGCCCAGTGCACTCAGAATTTGTGTATATAACATAGTGCAGCGTTGACTTAATCAGGGAGGAACCTGGCAGCCCATCTCTGCATATCTATCAAGAAGCTATCATTCAACTTATGCAGCTGTTATCTGGTGGTTTCTGCATCTTTCCTGTAGCGCTTTTTCTTTAACTCAGTCATTTGTCCCATAAAATTTCCAATCGTGTTTTAGGGATACTGCAGTCCCAAAAAATTTGATATCGTTAGACTCCTCTCTCCCCAAAGTAATCTAGAGAATTCTCGAAAATGCAGCAGGGTGCTTACCGCAGTTTTGTGTACAACCTATACAGCAGACGCTTAAGTTTCATGCCCTGAGAAAGATAGGCTTTTTTGTGTACAACCTATGCAGCATACGCCTAAGTTTCATGCCCTGAGAAAGATAGGCTTTTTTGTTGTTTTTTGAAAACCTTTTGTCACTGGCTGATCTGTGCCTCTTGAATTAAACAACATTCAAGCCTCGTTGATATTGTGCTGTAAAATGAAGGTGCCGACACATAATTAAAGAAGAATAATGGAGGGCTGAAATCTGTGGCTGTTTTCTTGTCTGGATAATACTTTATCTGGCAAATATTAGTTTTGGTCTGTCCACTACTCCAGTATGCACAATGGGTTCTGCATAACATCACATTTTTCAAGTGATGTAGTGACATCGTGTGAAGCTTCATTTAACACAACTTCTTTTTGTGTGTTTGACAACTGTTCTTGTTGTGAAATCTTTTAAAAAAGGCAGTGGTGATTACGTCACTTCCAAAGCTTGTACCAGCAGTTATGGATATGCTCATTGGTGCAGCTACAGTTATGCGTTTGTTTTGTTGATCACTGCATTGCCAGATGGTGCCACCATCCCATTCACGCTTCCAGTAGACTCATGATAACATAAACGTTGAAAAGTTTGCAAGCGAACTAACACTTGATTTTTTCTGCTGACTCTAGTGCCTCATGAATGACTTTTTTCAGGCCCGTCGCCACTGCCAGAACCTCAATCTGGGCCTGTGCCGTTGACTACAGTCAAGTCACCTGAGGAAGTGACCGGGGTGAAGTCACCAGACCCAGAAACTTGGACGGTTCCTCTGGACACTGGCCGAGGCCTCGAGTGGACTGACGGCCAGTCACCAGCTGGTAAGTGTGATCACAGTCACTTAGAAGCCTTGGGATTGTTTTGAAGTGTTTTGTGCTACCTTTAAGTTGTCACTTGCTGTCGTCAAACAAGTGTAGATGTTTTCATTATGTCTCAATGAGCATATTTCAAAGTTCTAATCATCTGTATGTTGCAATATAGTAGGTTTGTGAGCACATTTTTCAAGAGACTACAGCAAACGAATGCAAGTGGAAGCTATACAATACACAACAATTCATGGCACCAGAATAACAAAATGTGTCGTATTAGCCTGGAAAGCAAAACTGGGAATTCGTTAATGACAGCCTCTTGTTATTTTAAGCACTGATATTCACTATACCTATTCGTGTTTGACCGGATGTGCATACACTGGTGTGCATTTTTAATTGCCGAATTTTGTGGTTTTTTCGTCCTTGGGTTGTCAAAAAATTGTTTATGCTTCATCACTTTTGTGGCATCTTTGACTTGGGATGGTTGTGTAAGTTATAAAGCTAGAAAATACCGTTTCACACGTATAACCTCTGCTTCAATGCTCTAATTTGACTATGTGCTGTTAAAGTCTAGAAATAGGAGTATAGAGCAAAAAAGACGAGTCATGGGAGGTAAGCAGACAATGCACCAACTCGCCCAGCAACGCATTCTATTATGTGCTGCTGAAGCCTTCAACCTGATGCGTCTGTCACTCAGGTGACTGGCCAGGGAAAGCGAAGGGCACCACTGCACCCATCATCGACACTGCCCCAAAGCCAACGTCTGCACCTAAAACAGAGTCTACCATACCTGGTGAGTGATCCATTCCCCCCCACCCCCTTTTCTCTTTAACATAATGATATCTTGGTACATCCGAATGTATGCAGCTTGCTGCATAACCTCGATGTTAAGCACTTCTAGGTGATTGCATTTATTTTGTGTGCTTTTGTGTGGCACTAGGCTACACTGTCCATAGTTAGAAGTGCTATTCGCATTCAATAATGACCGTCTTCGGTTACACCCGTCACTGTGGTCTAGTGGTAATGGTGCTCAAGTGCTAACCGATAGTTATAAGATATAATTCCAGCCGCCGTGGCCAAAATTTCATTGTAGGGGATATGCTAGAGGCCCACGTAGAGCCGCCCAAATCTTTAGCTATCGTACGCGAGCGTCGACTTTTTTGTGCGTCAGCGCCGTATGATGGAGCCGAGTTGAAAACAGTGCAAGAGTAAGCGCATGCCAAGGAAGCACACTCAGCTGGGCTCATCGTCTGCTTGGCTGTTCCTTTGTGAGAACGTCGCCCTGCATTAAACTCGATTCAAATGATCCACATTTGTCAGCTTATCTCATGCACGAGGGCATATGATGTATCTGCGGATCTCATTTTCTGGGTTGCTTGCTGATCTTCGAAATAAAAGATTCGAGCAAGATGCGCAGCCTGTTCGTCTGAAGTGAGTTAATGCAGGGCAAGGTTCTCACAAAGGAACAGCCAAGCAGACTATGTACCCAGCTGAGCGCGCTTCCTAGACATGTGCTTACCCTTGGCTTGTTTGTAACTTGGCTCCGTCGTACGGCGCTGACGCACTGATAAGTCGGCGTTCGCAGACGATATCTAAAGATTTGGGCGGCTGTACTTAGGTTTAATACACGCCAAAAAACCCAAGGTGGTCAATGTTTCCGGAGCTCTCCACTGTGACATCCTTCATGAACATACTGTAATGTTGTAATGTAAAAAGCAAACAATTATTGTGTCTTCGGTTACAGAGGGCAAGGTGGACCCAATACCTAAGGCAGCGTTCGAGGAATCCCCTCACAAGGGAGCTCCGGAAGATCCGGTGAAGCCGCAGCCTGCCGGTCAGGCAGGTGTGGACGTCCTTGACAAGGCCCGAAATCGCCTCGAAGAGTTTTGGGTCACGGGAAAGTGAGATGGCATTGCGCGCCAGAAAGTCCACCTCTGGAGGCAGCACAGTTGCCTACCCGTGGGGTGAGAGCGCAAAGAGAAAAAAATGCAGCGCGGCATAGCCGAGGTGCACACTGGGAAGCCGGGGTTTGGTTTCCAAGACAAGTTCTTGGGTAGCCTGCTTAGCCTAGCTTTGTCTTCCGTCAATTTCTCTCCAATCCTCTCCCCTTTCTTTGTGTGTGATTATTGGACTAGCTTCGCCTTACCACTAGGGACATGCATTACTATATTGTTATCAAAAGGGTAGGCACGTCACACTGATGACACAAATGCTACAGTTTGCATCTTTTGGGGCATATCTCGGCCGTTAAACAATAACCGTCATCTATGACGCATTTCTTTCCTTGTCAATTCCCTCTTTTTGCCTTGTTGCTTGCTATCTCACACCGGTAACATGCAGGCGATTCTCGACTAGAAAATATCAAGCATGCAGCGTTGAGGAAAGACAAATAGTATAGATGATGGTGTTGTTTAAGTACAAGATACACCGCAAAGGGTGCATACTTTTCCTTAAAGCGTATCGAAGGATGGTTAAGGACCAGAGGGAGTGAAAATGCGGTCTTCTGGTGTGAATATTCTAACTGAGCGAAGCTGGTGACTGCTGCCTATATGAGTCCCCTGTCAGAAGCCCCAGAAGTATCGAAACAGGCGGTTCGAGCCCGCACAATAAGATAGGAGAAGGCCAGGAGAGGAGAAATGAGGCAGGTCAAGAGTACTGAGGGAAGGCACAAGTTCGTGAGTCAATTTTGTTTCTGAGACACAGGGTTGTTAAGCTTTTCACACTGCTGTTTACTGTTTTGTTTTCTTACGCAACTCCTTGTCACGGGAGAATTTTTTCTGTAGGAGAATGTGCTTGTGAGTCTATTCGATCTCTCAAACGCTGCATTTTGTTCTCGAGTGTCTCTGTTCTTGTCGAAGCGCACTCGTAATTTTTCTAAAGCATGGCAGATATTTTGGCAGATTGTAACCTTCAGCACCGAATTCAGCAGAGCTAAAGTGGTTACATTAGTCGTCACTATTGTGCGCTCGACGAGAAGCATAGCTAGGCAGCCGTCACGAAATCTGTAGGCTTCGGAGTGTTCGGCTTAGCTGTCCTACCTGTTTTGCAAGAAAGATGGCAAGAAGAAAAAAGCCTTAAACACTTTGAATGATTATTTCAGATATCTTAAGGTTCCATCATTATCCTGCATCACGTGTGTCTTATTTTACAAAAGGCAGCTACGCGTAAAATGCCCAATTTTTTATTGACAAACACATCTAGTCTCTTGTTACTTTGTTGGTTGTGCTGTGCTAAGAAGCTTCTCTTATCACTTTCTCTGCAATGCACGTCTCTGTTCCTCACACACAGCAACATGCGAAGGAGAGCGCACAGTTCATGTCTGCAATGTAGCCTACGGATTATTTAGCCATTAATAGTGCTCACAGGACTCGTTCTATTACAGGTTAGATGTTACACCTGTTGTGTTGGTCATCTTGTCAACTACAATGTTTGCTCGAAATGTTAATGCATTAACATGCTGCCGTTTTAATTCATCCTGCATTACTTACTAGCTCTAGTGCAAGTTATTACTAGAATCTCTGCTTTTTAAAATTTATTTTGTCACTGAACAAATAGGTCGTGTACGACCGCTTTATTCTTGAAGTGTAATTGACATCCGACTATTTAAGAGCAGATAAAGTAATATTGCCACTTGTGCTATTCACATTTCAAGTGACTATTATACTGAAAGGGGTTTTATTTGCGAATTACTATATTACATTGTTTGTAAGACTTTTTTCTATTGTTAAGTCTTTAGAAGTCTATTTTACTTTTTAAAAGAATCTTAAAGAACTTAAGTTATTTTTGATGTCGTTGTCATGATAGTATGACACGTCGAGCTTAAGATTGTTTTTTATGCAGGGAAAAGTTGGTGGGTGTGTGCTATTTTTTTTGCTTTTTTTTTTTTAGCATGCGAATTCCATGCTAACATAGTACTGGTTGTCATTTGTAAGTCAGTATGTTCCATGCAGTATATAGCATTACAGTAGACTGTCGTTAATTGGCACCTGAATGGAACACAAAAATATGTTCCATTTAACGAGAGTCCCACTGATTGAGAGATGAACAGGGGTGATGAACAGGGGTGTTGAATTGAAATGTTAGACCATTCGTACATACTGAGGGAGCTGTTCTATGGAAGCAGCGATTTCAGTTAGGTATTTCTGGTTACTGAGAGTTTGCTTAATATAGTTTATATTGGTACATTATTGTACATCAATTGATTCTTCCCACTTTTATCGTGTCGTGCAATACATAAATCCCATTGCTACAACAAAGCAACCAATGATACATTGTTTCATTGTAAGTGGACTGCACTGTACTACACATTTTTCAAACACTGACATCTTTGTAATGTTTAATAATTTTTTGTCAAGTTTATGCTGAGAAAAAAAAAATCAAGATACGGATTGAAAAGACATCACTTCGATGCATGTGTTGTTAGCAAAGCATCCGAAAAAGTTTCTTTTTTTTTTATTCTTCTCCTAAATGGTCTTTCTTTCTCGGCTGAAAAATGGTTCTTGTGTGCAAATAGCATTGGCGGGATGTATTGCCAATTGAGATCTAAAGCATCCGTGTTTTGAGCTCACAAGCAAAAACTGGTTTTGTTCTCATGACATCTGTCATCTGTATTTTTGTTGTGCACACTTCATAGTTCCACGAATGCAAGCAAAAAGCATGAGAAAGAGAAGGGGGCGATATTGTGCTGGTTTACTAATTTTAAGCCTAGGAATAATATTTGTAGAAGATTCAGGGGCCATCAATCAGAGGTTTGTTGAGAGTTCCTGCAGGTGCATGAAAGTAATGACAGCAGCTAGTGATTTGGGAGTGAATGTGCTTTGGCAGTGATGTTACCCAGCTGTATCACTCTTTCTCTCATACCACAGGTTGAACGTTTCATGCGTCTAGCGTTAAACGGTTTCTTGAGACATTGTACTGTGTTTCCCATTCACCTCAAAACTCCGACTTTTGATTATAAATGTCATTGGTGTTGTGTGGGCAGTCCCTGCCTGCGTAAAAAATTACTGATGAACTAACGCACGCTCTTAGTCTAAAGCACACGGTCAGCCTGAAAATAAAGTACAATTGTAGTGCTGCTGGAAGTTTTGCAGCGCTCCTTGGTTGCACTGAGCCAGGACACCAGCTTGTGATTTCAACTTGAACCGAACCAATCTCATTTCATTGGTAACCTAGCATCGCTGTTGATAAACACAACTGATAGTCTGAGGTTTTGATTGGCTTTAACTTCTAGACAGGTGTATTGTCATGATCGATATAAGTTGCAACGTGGTGCCCTTAGCCGAAGAGGGGCCAACACTGCACGGCAGAGCCAACGAGAGAAAGATTTGCGAGCTGATTGTAGCTTCGATTACTGGTATTTTGTAAAGACATTCACTGTATCTTGGTGTTACCGTGCAGGCTTGGGGCCGTCTACTGTGGGCACTATGTTACAGTTGATATTGAGCGTGACTCTACGTGACTGGCTGACGCTTTGATTGGCATGTGATTGTACACGGAGTCTTGGCATGTGTACGAATTGTAAAGTGCATTCTTTCTCAGTCTCCTAGTTACGATCAACGATGCACCAAAGTGTTTTGGATGAAAAAAAATCCAAAGAAAGAGAAAAGTAAACGAAACTCCCTACTCTGTCTGTCTAGTGTTACGTGCAACATATTTGTCTGTAAGGCACCAAGTCCACTTGGACTTGGAACCATTGCTAATGCAGCCCAAAGTTGTCATTTGCTGCTCTGATGTCGTAAGAGCATTCTCTTCTCATCAGAGCCTAAAGTAGTCGTACTTCGAGGATGCTTGTCTGATAGTATTGTGAATTAACAGTGTGTTAGCTCTCTCTCATTATAGTTGGATAGATAAGGTGTTTTGTTATTTCGATTATATCAGATCTGTTTTTGTTTTTTCAAAAGCAAACACGAGCCTAGATCCCATTCTTAAGAAAATAATGTGTGTATTGAATGCTTGTGCCCCGTCCCGGCCTTTCCAATCAATATGTCTGGGTTACTGCATCAATGATGTAACAGGCTGCATTGATGCTATAACTTGTAGATGTTCTCAATAGGACAGACCAAGCATATTAAGTAAGTGTGTCTTAAAAAGAAATATTCAAGTGGCATCTCGATCTGTGTGTACCGGTTAGAAATGCAGAGGTCTCTATTTTTCTCGCTGGAGAAATGCGAGCCGCGAAACATTGCTCCTTGTGAGCACCTTATTTCGTTATCATTTTTGCCATTTAGATTTTCAATATATATTATTTACACTTTACAAATGCACCAAAGAAGCAAGGTATTACAGGGCACTTTTCTAAGCTAGGGTTCTTATTTTGTGATACAATTATTTTCCATGCCTCTAGCGGTATTATTCACCGTTGCATTGACTTTTCGTGTGCGTGACTTGTCGGTGTCATCTGGTGGCATCACATTTTTTTTCTCTAGCCTGTGTCATTGCCTGTCAGAGTTGTGAGGTAATAGGATTATGAGATTATATTTAGTATGTATTCTAGGAAATGTTGTTGAACCTAGATTTATATTCAGATGTTTAGGTCTTTACACTCGTAAGGCAGCGTAAAATGAAGAGAACTGCGCTTATTTATTAGGGTTCTTCTCCAAGAAGCACTTGCTGTGACCGGCACTCCTGTTCCACAACTCTTCCTAAGGGTCAAACATTAGTATGCATTAGACCTTTCATGCAGCTGTTTTCACGCAGTACTGCTTGCCTAAAGAACTAGCTGTATTGTTACGGTGATAAATGAAGTATGTAGGTAGTAAAGCAATTTCAGCTCTACTCTTGTGTGGAACAGCAGATAATGGTCTTTAAATTTCACATTTGAATACAATAGTCCCTTAAATTATGTGACGTGTAATGTTTTTCTGTGTGTATATGTATTACCTTTGAGTTACACTGTCCTTCTCAAATAAGTGTCCTGCATGTATACGTATATATTTTATTCTCTTGAATGAACAAAGTTGATAGAATGTGCCAAGGTGTGAAATAAGTATAAAGGAAGAGGCACATTGCTCACGGAGCATTCTGCCAATGAGTACGAGAGTTGACGATCTGGAGGTGCGTGTGAGTTCTACATCATTTCGTGTGGATGTTAATGAAACGAGTGAGTGAGCTTGAAAAACTGTCTCGCATCCCTGTGTTACGTTGTTTTGAATAGCAGTTGTGAGACCTGTTGTGTGGCTCCATACAGCTCTTTCTTTGCTGCTCGTTCGAGGATGGTGTCTGGTGGATGTGCAATATTGCCTAGACTGGCAGGAATTCAAACTCCAATTATTTTGAACCGACTGAAACATTAGTTTGGCTGGCCTACGTTGTTTTCAGTGCATTCCAAAGCCACCTCGCTGATCCGATGTCAATAATGTATTTTCATTTATGCAAGCTTTCTGGTTTCTGAGTGCAAAACAATGCGGCCACAAAAAACCTATTAGAAAACTTGTTTAGGATATAAATAGCCAAAACATGCCCTCGTTTAGTATATAGGCATCTGATAATACAAATGTGAGTTGCAGGTCTATTTGTATAACAAGCTGTAATTGTGGCTTGGGCCATGCCTCATTCAGTTTCCGAAAACCCGAGACTTGGGTAATTCACATTAAAGTATGCTTCTTAGGAGTTTGAATTGATGTGGGTTTTTATTATAGTATTAAGCGTCTGGCATTTGTTCTTGTTGGAAGTTTCACAGAGGCATGTGATTGCAGGTTTTTTTTTTGCTTTTCCAATACAAGTCTATGTGTTATCAAGATCTGTTTCTATGAGTGGAGAAAAGCATAGGGAATCTCATTCTCCTTATCAGCTGTTCTGCGGCTAGCATACATATATTATTCATGCAGTTTCGCAGCCTTAATTCTTAAATGCACATAGCTTCCTAAACAAGGACTGCAGTAATATGTACATTTCCTTAAAATAAGTATATAAATTGAGTGATAAATGATTCAGTCTTCTGCATAATGGTGCACGCATGCAATTAACTTGTTATAACAGACAAAGAAATGTTCCTTCTGGTACAAGCCAAACATTGCGCTATTTTGCCTCAGTTGTGCTTACCACATGGTGGAAGAAAGCAGTTGGAGGGCTTAGCATGTACAAACTGCTTCAACATAGTTCCTATCTTCATATAAGATGCTTTCACCAATGTGAGTGTCTTCATGTTGGTGTGAATTCTTACTTCATTGAGCATTACAGGTGGCACTGTTTGTTGCTATAGCCTGGCACATTCGCCAGTGCACGTGCCGAATCAATTCCTCAAATACCTAGTTATCTTGGACGCACTTAACAAACTACTTGCTTTTGAAGTGTAACTCTTATCTTGCAGATATATAAATTTTAATAATATTGTTTACTGAAATGAAAAAAAAAAATTTCCAATTTACCACAATTAGTAACACGTAAAAGAATTATCACTCTTCAACATCAAACAATCAGGACGAATGACAAGCTGAGTTGTTAATATGTACTACTAGTGGGCCTTGTTTTGCAGATATTGTATGTCATTTACACAAAGCTATGTTAATGTATGTTGACATAGCAGCAAGAAAGGCTGATATGCTTGGTTCTGTGTGCTTGCAGTCTATGCAAGTGTTAGCACAGCAGGTACCTTGCCACAAGCATGTCAGAGCTAGATTTTGTCTATTCATCAGCTCACATCAAGATGATGAAGTTTTCTAGGAGTACAATGAGAAGCTTCTAGAGGTCTTTGTGGAAAATAGGTGGTTGCATACTGCAAGGAGTAGTCATCTATCTTGTTGTCATGCGTCAAATCTAAGCTAAATTATTCTAAGCTAGTGTTGTCTTTGGAGGCTTTACAATAAGCAGGCATTGTAGACTACACTCGAATCACAGCTTAAACATTTCTCACATGGAAATTCATCTTATTAATGTAGCCGTAATTACACATTGCAATTGTCCATCGTATACATGATCATTTGGTGCACTTGAGGATTATCAATAATCCTGTGAAATGGATTCGTGCTGATCAGCCACATGCAAATACTGCACAGACTACTAGTTAACCGCAAACCATTGCTGTTCATAGGGCATTTCTTTCACTAGCAGTACTGAAAGATTAAAGAGACATTTCAGGAAATGATCATAATCCCAGCTTGCGCACACTAAAACAGGAATAAAAAAAAAAGCTTGAAGCTACCTCTCTCGATATACGTTAAGCTAATGTAAATGCAATCGAAAATTGACGTTATGCAAACAAAATTGGCCGTAAACTGCACCCTTAGTTGCCTGTAATGTTGGCGCATGGTTTGGTTCTTGCCACCGTTAACTTGTTTATAACTGGCAGCATGTCTTTGGTGTGTATTTGTGAGTGCAATTTCCCAAAGTGCGAGTTGTGATATGTGGCGTAGTTTCGGGAAATACTATGGAAACGTTTGAAGCTTAAAGATGTGTTTAAGTGTCGCGTTTGAATATCTAGTGGGGTGTGGGTTTTCTTGTGGTTATATTTGCGATTACTGGTACAAGTGTCATCCTTTTTGTATGTATACACGGCTGTTATTAGTATCAATAAAGAGAAACACTACTCAACATCCCTTGAGATCGAATGCTTTTTGGAGTTGTGAACTCAATACTTTAAAAGCTCGTTAATTCGAATGATGGGGTTGAGAAAAATTTCTGAATTAATTGAATACCAAATCATCGAATGTATCACACAAAAGATGATCAAATGTCTGTTACATCAATACACATTGTCTTTTATTTATTTTTCATTTTTGATGAATTCGTTAATTTAGTACTTATCTTAGGTGAGAGCAGAGCAAAAATCACAATTTTCTTGATGCCATTCATATGAAATTTGTATGATGCCATTCGTATTGAAATTCAGCCAAAATGTGCTCTGCACCCCTGCCTTATTACCTACTGCCATCACCACCACCACATGCATGTGACGAGAGTTCATTCGCAGATAAAATGGCCGGCCACTAATAGTTTGGCCATGGACTTAGGGTATGTAGCATCATTTGTCGGGAGAAGAGAGCAATTTCTGACTTAGAAAATTGCTAATTGCAAATTCCAGGCAATATGTTACACTATAATGGTTGGCTTGCTTGTTATCAGGGGCTTCGACTATCAATCAGCCATGTTTTCAGACCATTCTGTAAAAATGTTGCAGGGCTTTTCTAAAAGAATGATAACCTTTATAATTGACTGTGGTATGCTTTATGCAAGACACTTTTCCCAAATTAGAGTACAAGTGATTTACATTCTTTAACTATGGCCTAACCATATACATAAAAAAAATGTGGGGGTAAGGGTGACAAAAGCGTATTGGTAGAGCTCTCATTGAGCAAAAAAAGCCAGAAAGAAAGAAAAGGCACGGTTGATAAATGGGCAAAATAAGACAATAGAGAGGCTTGTGGACGGCTTTTTTTACGAGTCTGGATCAGTTGTCTGGCACGGTGCCTTTCATGTAAGCATTGAAACTTATAATGCTTATTCCTATTTTTCTCAAAAGACAGTTTTAATTTTAGTGCTGCAGCAATTTCAGTCTGATTTCATTCAATAAAATATTCTTTGGAAACTTTGTAGGCTGTTTCATTAGATATCAAGAAGTGCAACAAACTAGCATTTGTATTTTACAGCGAAAGCAGTTATGAGATCACAACTTGGGTCACCCGCCACCGTAGTTGTCCGCCGACGTCTTTGTCCATAACCACATCGCACGTAATTAGAAAACCTAGCGCCAACGACACAATGGGGCGTGAGCCCGGGTCCACTGGGTGCCAGCCCAGTATTCTACCACTGAGCAATGCCGGTGTTTGGGACTCGTTGGCAAACTTGCCTTAGGCAGACGATGTCGAGAAATCAATTGCGGTAATACAACTTACAAAGCGTTTTAGAATAGCGAAAGAACAGCCAGTCGTCGCACAATGCGAATAGCATAACGAGTGGGTCGTCCATTGCTCCAACCCATTACAAAAGGTAGTGTCTATGTTGCCGGCAGCCGGTACAGTATATCGACATACCGGATGCCGGCAGTTATTTCCTATAGGAGGGTTTGAAGTGACGTTCTCTGGGGAGTGTGCCGAGGCTGTTCTGGTGCTGCGGAACCGCGAGGAGCTGCCCAGGCTAGAGAAATACTGTGACCTAGGCTTGATATTGTCCACCTCGGAGATGCTCGTCTGCGAGCTAGCTCTGAGGTAGACGATATCATGCCTAGGTCGTGGCACTTACGAGCTAGCCGCATACTGCCTGGACAATGCCTGTAGGGCGTGTTAGGTTAAGTTACGTTAGGTTAAGTTAGGGAAACTCAGGTCCGTGACTATCCTCTGAAAATCTCGGTATCTCCATACCAGAAGACGACTTGGAGAGTGCACATCGGCTTGGTCGATACCAGCAAAACAAAAGTAGACCTATCATAGTAAAATATGCAAGATTTAAAGATAAATAAAAAATTCTTGCAGTTGCGTCCAAGCTCAAGGGCACGACTTTTTCAATTCGCGAAGACTACTCAGCTAGAGTGCGAAAGGCACGAAGGAAACTATATGACCATGGCATGCTGAGCGGCAAACCCTTCAAGCTACGCTTTGACAAGTTACTATTTGAAAACAAGCAATTTTTGTACCATGCAGAATCTGATAGCGTTGTTGAATTGCAGTCGTAGCAGTCATTTCTATATCTCAGGCATGCGCGTCCCCACTTCCCCCCCAACCTTGCCTCGCCCCTATGAATGATCCCATTTGTCAATGTATGGCAGTCTTAATCGCAAATGTGCGTAGTTACCTGCCTAAGAAAGACGCTGTTGAATCCCTTCTGAATGACAACAACACTGACGTTGCAATATTTATGGAATCTTGGCTTCAGCCGCACATTGCTGACCACGAGCTATTACAAGACGGCCAAGCGTACGCTGTTCACCGGCTTGACAGGGTGGGGTGGAGGGGGGGCGGAATATTGATTTTTGTTAAAGAAAGTGTTCCTTCTTATGTCATCAAAATGAACTGTCAACACGAAATTTTCTGTGTGAACATCTCACTTGCTTCGAAAATGACTGTGATTATTGCTTGTTACCGCGCTCCTAATTGTGATGCCTCCTTCATTTATGAGCTAAATACAGTCCTAGTACATCTTTACTCTCGTTTTCCTTCTGCTTATTTCATGCTCTGTGGTGATTTTAATTTTCCAGATACTAACTGCACAAATTTTGAGTCAGATAACCGCCAGTCCAAAGATTTTCTTGAAATGACCCTGACGTTTAACCTTACTCAGATGGTTAATACACCAACCCGTGGGGCAAATAAATACACCAACCCGTGGGGCAAATATCTTAGACCTCGTACTTGTTTCCAACGCTGATACAGTTAAATCGATATCATCCGTTGAAGGTCTAAGTGACCACAATTTAGTGCTATTTAACCTAAGCATCCCACGTCCTGTTCGACAGCGCTCAATAAAACACATCAGGGATTACAACAAAGCCAATTTCACAAAAATAAACTCAGAATTAAGTGAGTTCCTTGATTACTTCCGTCAGTCTGCTTCACTTCGTTCAGTAGACGATAATTGGCTGTTATTTAAGAATAAGTTAACATCGCTTGTAGAGTTACATGTACCCCTTGTACGCATTCGCGGTGACCTGGGAAAACCCTGGTTTTCGAACACACTAAAGAGGTTGTTAGAGAAAAAAAAGCGTCTTTTCTGCGATGCGAAGCAATCGGTAATTTCCTCAAAGTGGGAAAAGTATTTTACGAGTCTGCGTCAATATACTTCTGCTTTGAGGCAATCCAAAAAGAAGTTCTTCCACCGCGACTTGCAGACCATTATGCGTGTCAACCCTAAAAAATTCTGGAAAATCCTCACACCTAGTAAAAGCTCCAATAACATTTCTTTGAGTTACCCTGATGCCAATTGATGAGCGATCAGATGTAATCAACTCGTACTTTTCATCTGTTTTCACTAATGAACCCACGCTAAACGACTTTGATCCGCCCAACCTTTCTCTTTCCGATATGCCTCTTATAATCATTACTTCTCAAGGAATCTTGAAGCTCATTGAAAAAATGAAGATTTCTAGTGCCCCAGGACATGATGGTATTACAGCCAAAATACTAAAAGGCACGAAAGTGTTCTCTAGTTCTATATTAGAAATAATTTTCACGCAGTCAATCACTGACAGTTCACTTCCGACGGACTGGAAGATTAATAAAGTAGTACCTGTATACAAGTCTGGCAGCCGCTCGGATCCCTCCAACTATCGTCCCATTTCGCTTACAAGCATTGCCTGCAAACTCCTAGAACATATAATATACTCACAAATAGCATGTCATCTAGGTAATCATTCCTTCTTTTTCCCCAATCAACATGGCTTTCGGCCTAACCTATCATGTGATACTCAGCTCTTTGAATTTGTTACCGAGCTTCACTTAAACTTAGACTCATCCTTTCAAACTGACGTCATTTATCTTGATTTTGCGAAAGCTTTTGACTGTGTCCCCCACCAGCGACTTCTGGCCAAGCTCTCATGCCTACAGCTGGACCCCCTAGCGTTGTCATGGATCCGATGCTTCCTGACCAATCGTCTCCAATACACGGTTGTCGGTAATCACTGTTCAGCCACTACTAACGTGATTTCTGGAGTACCACAGGGATCCGTTCTTGGTCCTCTGCTCTTTCTCATCTTCATAAACGACCTTCCTAATGGCATTTCATCTTCTATTCGACTTTTTGCAGATGACTGCGTTCTTTATCGTCGCATCGCACACCGAACTGACCATGAAATCATTCAAAGCGACTTACATCAAATCGAATCCTGGTGTTCCAATTCATTAATGAAACTCAATATTTCGAAATGTAAAGTTATGCAGATATCCCGTAAGCGCTCCAACAGTAATTACACGTATTCCTTAAACTCGATAGCTTTGTCCCTCGTCGAATCTTATCGTTATCTTGGTGTCACAATAAACAAAAAATGACATGGTCCGATCATATCACCAAATTAGCAGCCGACACTACTAAATCACTTGGTTACATCAGACGTTCCCTTTCCTTGTGTCCCTCATCCACGCGAAAACTGGCTTACGAAACATTTATACGAAGTAAGCTTGAATATGCCTCAGCTATTTGGAGCCCTCATCAAGCATACCTCATTAACACTTTAGAATCTATACAGCACCGTGCGGCCAGATTCATCTCTTCTAGGTACGGCCGTGATGAAAGCATCAGTGCCATAAAGTCATCATTGGGACTCGAGTCATTGTCGTTCCGTCGGAAGATTGCAAGGCTGTGCTTGTTCCATAGGCTTTACTATAACTTCCCACATCTTCACGGTAAACTCTTTATCCCGCCAAGCCGTACATCTCGTCGCCTTTTTAACTCGTGCAGCGTCCAGCGTTTGCACGGTTCTATGTCTTCTTTTAATTAATCTTTTTTGCCAACAGCCATTGCAGAATGGAACACTTTGCCAGACTGTGTTGTCGTTGAGCGAAACCCTATTGCGTTTAAGCAGTTGCTCACTGATCATCTTACGCTGTAAAATTCTTTTACACTGTTCTTTCTTTTCGCCTTTATATGCCCGATTCAAATTGTAACATTTTTTTTTTGTGCTTTTAAATAAGTCTGCATTTCTATGTGTTATGTTTCAGTATTGTGATCCGATATGTTTTGTAACTCTTTATGTAACCTCCCCCCCCCCCCTTATGTAATACCCTGAGAGGGGCCTTTAAGGGAAAAATAAATGATGATGATGATGACGATGATCCTTGACAATAGTGATCAATGTTGCAAAATGTCGGAGAGCAAAAATAGCTAAATGACGACAAATACAGCAAGGCCGCAAGTCAGGCTCGCCAGAAATGTGCCGGCAGATAAGTCACATAGTTATGGGCAGCCAATAAGAGAAAACTGCCGGCAACATGTTTCCTGAGATAATAAGCGGTTGCCGGCACTATAGGCATTGCCATTACAAAAACTTGTTCTTGTTCACCCATGAAATGTAGCGCATACCCAATTCAGGCATCGTCGTCAGCCACTGCATGAACAATTGGCACAAAATTCCTTGCAAGTGTTTAGCAGATACCACATTTCTGAAAATAATGACGAAAAATAGCATAGCTAATGCCGGCCTACTACCAAAAAAGTTTTATCAATAATGCCGTAGTGGGTACCAAGCAAGTGTGCTTGCAGTAGTTACCCAATGAGTGTTTAGAAATGGCTTTGACAGGCCGTTCGTTTAGCTTTCGCTGCGACTGTGCTGTGCCTTACGCGCAGGCCTGACATTTTTAGTTTCTGATAGTTTCTCTAAACATATATCCCATATTACCTTTATTACATTTTATTTCACCCCTTTTGCCTGCCCGAATTCCGAAGTGTTATTGGATCTAGCAAATTTTGCTTTTAAAAAAAATGCGTATAATTTAAAGACAACCTCTTTTGCAGCTTTTGTATGCATAAATAATGTTAAAATGGCATTGTCAACAAGGGACAGTAGTAAATGCCTAAAATTGCGATTGCTTAAGTTCCTTTCTAAAAGAAAAATTTAAGTTTATGGAACATGATAATCCTACGAATTTCAGGCACGTTACACGCACATTGGTTCTACAACTGTAGTTGATGTGTTATTACATTGATTTAATTTCTCTTAAAGGAGGTCAGATCTTAAAGGAGGTCAGACACACAAATTCGTAGTTGTGAAAGCTCGAAAGAATGCTTCTTGCATGTGAGAACATCGCACCTCAGCAAGTGTGGCGGTCAAGAAAGATAAAATAATTATATTGTTCGTCACAGAGATTGCCTTGAAATGCCAGACTTGGCACCATGTACATTACTGTTACATCATGATATGGGTATCTCATGTCGTCTAGCCGCTCGTATGCAGTAGCCCCAATAAGTTATCAGGACTGACCTGTCGTACTGCAGTTCGATGGTTTCGCAAAAAAAAAATTACAGTTCTGCATAAAATGTGCCCTGCAACACTTTCCAAAGCAGCCGTGGAATGAATAAAGTGAAGGAGCTTACTGCTCAACAAATCAAAATCAACAAAAAGTTTTAGAATCTGTACTAGTATGAGTGGAGTTACAAATATTTGTTGCACGCTGCAATAGCTTTCTCTTTTTCTGTCGTCCCAATGAAAGTGTGCTAAGTATGGAGGGATCGCATGGGGAAAGAAAATATGTCGTGTGCACTTCTTGACCTTGAGCATTTTTCATATACTATTTCTCTCTCTGCTTTTTTTCTTTGAACGCATGGCTTTTTAGTGTGATCACGTGTGCATGCACGGATAAGTCTCAGCCTCCCGTGGCAGCTTTAGCAATGCCCGAGCGTACCATGCTCAAATGAACCAATGGTGTGTTACCATCCTGTGACGCTGCGATTTTTCAGTATGCAGCATCATGTGTCGAGAGGAAAGAAAGCCATTTTCAGCTGACCTTGAGAATTTATTGTGAATTCCATGTCACATGCTGCGCAACAATATTTGGTTCTCATGTTCATTGGAGCCTTGACTACCGAATGGCAGCGTCTCCAGACAATGCTCAAAAAGTGTTGCAAGGCCCCTTTAAGGTACTCTGGCTCTTAAAAATATTTATCTAAAGTTTGGACCACTTGGACATCTATTTAAGATTAACAAAATATAACAAAACCTTGAAGATCCCATTCCAGCAATATTATGAATGGTGTTTAATGTTTTCTCAACTTGCAGACATGCAACCATTACGCATGTGCAAGTTGCAACAGTTCTTGCAGTCACCGAAACTAATGCACATATCTGGTGAGTCGAGTGACACAGCACACACATCAGCGATACTCCAACTTTTGTGAGTATTATTTTCATAATGCACACATGTAACAGTGATGTTTACGCAAACAGATTCGTATTTTGAGGTGCCAACATTGTGCCGGCGTGAACATGTAAAAAGAAAGCTCCCTGTAGTTCTTCACAAGTCTACAAGGTCGTGTTCCGACTACCGGAATTCAAGACAGCAATTATTCTTAAATTGCCGCACGGTAGGCATTAATCTCAACAGGCACTTCTTGCTGACACTTCACAACTCAGTTCATGAATCTCTTGAACCAAAGGACAATGTTGACAAACACGTCCGCTTCAACGTTGACTTTGGATAACGCGTGGTTGTCGTCATAGATGTACATCCTGAAATGAAAAAATATATATATAAAAGATGGTGAAATGGCTAATAATCCCCTAGGCCTCATTTCTATTTTTCTCAGAGAAGTACGCCATATTAAGATCTATGCACATGTGACCAGAATGCCTGTAACATTTATAGGGTGTAAAATCACTGAATAGCACAGTAACCTCACCATATTCACTGATTTACTTAGAACTGAAATGTGCCTAAACTGTTTGTTCGGTCAGACAAAAATCTTGCAAGGAAAAAGTGTGCGCCCTACTGACAGTTGTTTTGAGATTTAACAATGACCATTGCCCAGGTTATGCGAACAAAATGCTACATTTTCTCAGCACGGAAGGTTATACAGTTTACTACATCACATCAATGCATGCACTTTAATAGCTATGTAAGTAATTCTTCATTGTTTATTTAATTTTTTTCAGTAGCACAATGCAAGTTATTCAACATAGCTGCCATTAGCATTTCGTCCCTCATATTTGTTTTAACACAGCCAATTTTTTTAACACCTCAGTCTTTACATGCATTTAAACTTTAGGAAATGAAGGTCTCCATAAAAATAAATATTCTTCATAAATTACGCAATGTTTGCAATTCAAAGGCAGTGACTGAGTACATGGCATCAAACAAAACAACAGCCAAAGCTTTGATGTCTGTTCTCCTAGAAATGAATGTATACGAAGCTTTATAATAAAATGAATTGTACAAAATGGAATACACACGATAGACGAAGAAGCACACATGAATGTCTTTCGCCTTGTATTCCATGCTGTAGAATTCAGTTTGTTATGAATAAGGACCAAATATAGGTCATCTATCCGCCGTGCCAAGTATGAAGATTTAGCACGTCGAGCTCTCTTGTGGATCCAAGCATTGTGCAGCATGCGTTACGAGATGCAGTGATGTTTACATGTGCTGGCACATTAAAGTGCACACTTACTGTGAACTGACTCCCTGGGCGAGAAGTGTCTTGTAGAACTTGATGCCTTGTGTCATCGGCACCCGTCTGTCGTTTTTGCCCAGCAAGAACAAAGTTGGCACACGCACCTGTCGGCAAAAAGCATTCGTAACGTACAGACAAGCTCCTTTCCTTCCTGGCCACGGAGCGACTATAGAAATATTTTTCATATAGGTTTGACAGCCCCTTAAGTGTTGGTGACACTTCGAAAATAAAGTCTACCCAGTGTGATGCAAAGATTGCACTGATGTCATGCGGTGCGTACCACAACATAGGGCAGAAGCCTCCTTGACTTCATCTTTCCCTCAAGCCCTTCTAATGCATTAAAATTGGCAGCTATACTCAGGCAAATTGTGTATGGTTAGGAAGGGGTTGACTGAATTTACTATGCATACGACGAGTACTGGCTAATCTTGGCTAACTTGGATAGTGTTAGCTGTCAGACAATCGGAGATAATTAATGGAAAATGGTTATGCATTTGCCATTTACCGCTAAATTGCTTATGAATTCCATTTTCTGAATAAGAACGCCAAAAGTATGTAGATGCTAGTGGTGTTTGAATTGAACAAAAATGTTAGAAAGAAAGAACTTTCGAAAACTTAGTCTAATGCCAGATGCAATGTCCTACTGCCACACCTGAAACAACTCCATAGAACTGCAACATCACGTATATCGTAATTTAGTTTCACAGCTTCACATGCCAAAACCACAGTGTGATTACAAGGCTTGCTGATGTGGGGGATTCGGCATTAGTAGTACTTTGTGTTTTCCACTTGAATGTTTAAATTTCCATGCTTTCACATTTTGCACCCAACGAAATGAGGTGCCCACAGCCAGGAAACAAACCTGTGCTTCTGTGTTCAGCAGCATGACAACACAAGTGCTTGTCTGCCACAATGAGTGCACTTACGTTCTTGATAAATTTCATGGGCGACTTGTTCCACATCTGCTCCAGATGCTTGGGCTCTAGCACGCAGTTTGTCGAGTAGTCTTGGATCACGGCACTCTCCACGCAACGCCTGCAAGGTCATTGACAAAGTGTGAGGTGATTGGTGTGGGTGTAATACAGTGAAACCTTGCAATGATGGTTCATAATGCACAAAAATTGCTTTGCTATAACCATATGCCAACAAAATAAATTGGAATCACACAAGCAACATTGTTTGCTGGGAACCCCCTCACATTTTGATTTGGCATAGTTTTACTACGCAAGACCCACTCAGACGCATGGATCCATCTGAGCCTGAACGAATTGACTCATGAGGTAGAGTTAGCTAAGCTATATAGTTATAATAATACACACTGACAACAGCAAAGGAAGTAGTCAGCTTTTAAATTTACATCGCAGTATCCAGTCATTCATCTCACGCATATTCACTGCCGGTGAAGATGACTGCCGGTTATCACAGAAATAAATCGCTAAGATAGACAACAAACGAAAGGAGGGGAATATTAAGGCCACTACATTAATTGGAACCAACAGACAAGAAATCCCAGGAATGTATAGGGTATGTTTACAGTAGTTATGATGTAAGTGAGAAGAAAGTAATGTCGACAAAAAGTGCTTGCCACTGACAAGGCAAGTTATCTTTTCATCACCTTTACATCCTTTACATCTTTAATTACTGCAAATGCCATCCACCATACTTTCCTCGGCTTTCATGTCTGTTCACTCTAAATAATGTTGAGATAGCCAATGGGCTACGGAACACAGATATACACGAGAACACAAATTGACAGCTGAAATCTAGAAGTAAACAAAAAGAGAGCCAGAGAAAGTGTGCAAAATTAAGGGCATTCCACAAGGCAAGCTACTCAGCGATACTACAATTACCAACACACACTATGAACGATTAGAAAATCAACTCACCAGTCGGGAATGTCAGTTCCATCCATGGCTGTAATTGTAAGAAAAACATCAGGGATGACATGTTGCAAACACCACAAAAATATCATAAAACAATTGCTTAAATATCAGGTCGACATGATCAAGTTATTTTGAGGTACTAAACTGATCCTGAACTTACATGAAAGATCCACGACAGGGTTCCGAACTGCACATGCGCGATAGAAGCTCTGTGAAAAAAAAACGTGAGTGCAATGTTAGACACCAACACTTAAATTTCAACGTATGGGACAGCTTCTCGGCAACCCTGGAACTAGACGTGTGAGTGGTTATCGATTAAGATAACAGGTACTGTTACATGCCTGGCTTCTCTGACGGAGAGAAAAAAACGTAGCAGAAACAATCACATATGATTGCCAAAGAAGTTAGTGACAGCTTTCTTATGTGTGACACTACTTCACGACAGACAATGCGTGCACAGTTTGAAGCAGAACTCGTAGTAAAGAGTGACCACCCTCACAAACCAGAAGAGGGAACTGCCTCTGCTGGTTCAATAATGCTTCAACCACGTGTCACGTGTTGCTGGTAACATAACCGAGTTCCGAAGTCTCCTTGAACACGTGTATAATAAAATACACATATTAGCCCATTAAGTAATATGTTGATAACATTTCAATCTAAGTCGCATAATTCAAACAAAATCTTAATGTACTTAGAAATCTGAGTTAATTCAGATCAACTGAAAATGAAACGAAGAAAGTTGAAGCCTACTCTGATGCTTACCGGAAACTGGCCAATAGCATGGCAAGCCAAAAAGCCTCCATGAGAGCCACCAAATATAATCGTCTTGTCTGGGTTGATTTCATCTCGCTGAGCTGCTACTTCGGCTGCACACTGCATGGAAGGAATACATGCAGCGTAGAAAAGAGGAAACGTTGGATTTTATGTCAGAAAAAATCACTATTCAGTGACACACACAAACAGTTTTTCAGCTTTAAAGCACTGCTGCTGCATGCATTCATGAATACTTGCATTGCATATTGTAAGTCACATGATTAAAAACGCTGAATGGTAGGCTCTGAAGTTACCTGAACATCAAATACGTCTTGCTGGCCAATCTTCCCCACCAGTGATTTGAGATTGTCCTCCCCAAATCCCCTGGAACCTCTGTAATTCACTGCAAAGAAGAAGGAAATGTATCAATGTCCTAACCATCACCTAAATGAAAGGGCCAGCCTCGTAAACATAGCCAATCATCTACTATTTGCCACTATTTGACTTTGGGCACAAAAATCTTTATAGATAAGGTCCATAAAAAATGGTACCGAAGAATGGTACTAATGTACGCAATTCATGTCACACATTGAATTTGTTATGAACATGAATAACTATTGTTTAAAATATTTGCAAGATTATTGCTGTTCTTGAATCGATGCCAATTTTTAAGAGCTAGTAAGTTGCCATATGTGAGGGTTAAAATGCCGCTTATGATGTTTAATATGAAGTGGCGGGAGGAAACAATGCACAACTCCTTCTCATGAGGTAACTCTCAATTTCATACGTGGTCAAGTTGGGTAATCAGGAACTGCAGAGAGGGTGAACTAGGAAGACTCAGAAGAGGCATGCAAAAACATGTAGAGCGCTTCATGTGTGTGTTATTGCATGCCTCTTCTGCGTCCTTGTATTGTGTATTATTTACAATTTCAATGTGCACAGCCAAACAGCCTATAGGTTTCACCTTGTTAGGCAATCCAGCCCGTTAAGGTAACACTATTCGAAAAAGAAAGAGGTTTTTGAGTGTGCCAAAGCCGTAATGCTCACATAAAAACGTCTATGATTTCAGTTGTGCATGCTTCCCCGGCTGCATTTCTTACAGATGCAGATTAAATTACAAAATAGATTTCTGTATCGCGCTGTTTCCTTACCAAGAAGCACAGCAAATCCACACTTGACAAAGAGGACGGGGTACAGCTGGAAACCAGCATGGAAGGAGCTGTGAGGGCCACCTGAAATACATGAGAAGGAGTTGGAATGAACAAGGAAGTGCATAAAAATGAGTTGGACGAAATTCGAGAATATGCGAGACAAAGAGAACAAATGGAACGGGACTCACAAAGACAACTGCATTGTCGTGTTCTCGCATGCTGTTGTATGCTCTGTTTATTCAGCATGCCATACTACAACTAACTGGCGCTCTTGATCTAGCTCCAATTTTATAAACCCGTAAATTAATCAATCGAACACCTTAAAAAAAAAAAGAAAACATACCATGTGGCCAAACGATGAGTGGGAGATCATTCTCATTCTTTGGTGTCACTAGCGTGGCTTCGAAGATCATATCTGTGTTCAAAGCAAAAAACAGCTATTGCAGATCATGTGCCATCGACTTTGTGCAGTAATGCAGCAATAATTTTGTTCTATAGTTATAAAGCACAAAAGACAACACTCATCAACTTCAGGAAATGTGCAGTTTTATGGCTGGCTAATAAACCATAAATGAGTCAGCTACCATCGTAGCATTAGAATGATAAGCAAGAAGTGCAGCTCACTTGACTCATCGGGCGGCGAGAACTGCAGGATGTACCAGCTGATGCCGGACACCTTGTTGTCGTCAGGCTCGATGGGTGTCCACACTTTCACGTCATTTGTTTCCGTAAGCGCGCCTACAACCTAAGCAGAGAAACAAAACAGAGGACAACACTGAGATTACAAACCGAATAATAACAATAATACTCGCATCAAGTCATTTTGCCAAGCTTCAAACAAAGCTGCTGTCATTTACAATCAATGATTTTCGCAAGTGCTGTTTAGCGAGTAGCAGCCTTGTGGAAAATACCAGGCAGCATTGCCGATTGCTGTTAATACAAACCAAGATGGCTCGGTATGGCTGAACAATCTCTGTAGTACTGCTTGTTAATCAGTATTACAGCCTTCAGTTTTCATTCTCAACGTTCCTCTATAAAACGAAAATGTTGCTGCATTTTTACTGTTTAAAATTATATTACAACGTCTTGGGGAGGCATGAAATCTGCGTGAACCAAAGTGATATTGGTTTCTAGAGACGAATTTGAAGCAGACAAAAGCGAGAAGTCTAGGACTGGTGCTTAACTAATATAAAAAAAAAAATACTTGTTATTGCTTGCACAGCCACGGAATCATGTACAGCACCTCTATTTTCTCAGTTGCCTAGAGGTGAATGTGGCGTGTTTTACTACATTGGCAGTCGAACTCCTTTAGGAAGGACAGTGATATAAGAGACAAATGGGTATAAGAGACACAAGCGTGCGTAAAGTAAACTACGGGTTGATAGGAAAATGCATACGCAGTACCCTGCTTACAAGAAACATCTCATAAAAGACAAGAACTGCTGCCCAGAACATGCCTCTTATAAAGCGGCTCAACTGCATTTGATCAGTACGTTAACACAGCCAAACGCAGTGTAAATAAACTGACTATGGAAGAAGGTAAGGTTGCCACACATACCAGCAGGAGACCCCTTAAAAAAACTTCTGGCTATGCCACTGCAATCCAAAGCATGGTCATATGGGACACTTGATAGTTTTTTTTAATGTGTAAAATGAAGAGTTTGAGTACAAACTGTAGTAATAGAATGATGCAACTCACCACATGAGGTGTTGAATTGAGAGCTGAAATGCAGGCGACAATGAAGTTCTCTTTGACTGTCAGAACTTGCCAGCAGCCTACGGTTTCATCTGTGCATGGTAGAATGTAGCGTTCATATTGCAGGAACAATAGAGAAAATGTGTAGGGCAAGATTCAGTGAAGGGTGTCACAGTTACCTACCCTTGCTGAGCTTCGTGATAGTGCCAAAATTGAGGTTGACTCCGATAACCTCCTACAGAAAAGAAAATATAGTGACACGTCAGGAGAGGCACGAGACTCCCATATTCGAACGTGTGGACTCGCCAGTACAAAAGCAACTGAATCATATGCCACGGTTCAAATGTACTCACTATTTGAACACGTTTCCTCATACGTTCTAGGGTAGTCACTTGTGCAAATATAACTCAAGAATGTGTGATACTGATCATGGTGCATGTCAGTGAAAGTGCTAAAAAACATTTTGCATGCTGCAAACACATGTTGCACTAAGTGTTGACTTATGAACATATTTTTTCTTTTGAAGAACATCCAGTGCTAAATTTTGAATACAAGTGCGTTTGTATGCGTGTGTGTGTGTGTGCTTGTGTTCAAAGCTTAATGCTGGATATTTTTCAAAAAAAAAAATGTGCACCAGCAGATAGCCTCAACATGTTTTGTTAAGCTTAATGACCGTGGCGATTCGGTGAAAACATGCTCCAGCAAAAAAGTAAAATAGCGCATGGCGTACGTGATGAAACACACTTCTGAGGCACTTACCCATTTGCTGTGCCAGCAAGTGGAAAGTACGACAGTACTTCCGTCACCAATGAAGCAATTCTGTGGCAGTGCATTCAGGTAGAGGCCAGGGAACTCATTGCCTGGAGTGAAGTTTAGTCATCACGAACACTTTCAAATTTCAAGTCCAACTCACGAGAATAAAAGCTAGAATCAAGTAATTTCAGTTATTGAAACAAAAACAATAAAAACACCTAGGCTCAGGCACTAGACTTTCGATGAGCAACGCACTCGATTCGAGTGAGACTCTTCATCATTTCAAACCTCTCACTTTCTCGCTTAAAGCCTCTGCATTCAAATACAGTAGGACAGGCAAAGCACGTTGATTGAGTGTTCATTTACTTTAGTATGTCGCACTCGGCGTTTGTTCCGAAGTCTTTTACGCTTAGTCGCAGGACGCATAAAGCCGTGCAATCAAGGTTTTGCAAGAGGCTACACCACCATGCAAACTGTAAATTGGGCAAGCATCACAAAAAGACTCAAATGCGATTGTTTGCCACAGGACTGCTGGTCACTCACCTACTGGCGTGCTGATCCTGTCGATTATAACTAACGTCTGCTTAGTCTCCCAAGAGCACTGCAAAATAATTAGGCATGAAATTTTCCACCGTGCAAAATTCACGTCCCTTATCTAATCAATCACACATTTGAAAAATGAAATTTTTCTAAAACGATCTACAGTAGAATTTATTTAGCTTTTCCTTCTGGTTTGGTTTACAAGTTTAACGTCTTTAAGTTACCCGGGCTATGAGATAGGCTGTAGTAGAAGTTTCCAGACAATTTCGACCAGCTGGATACTGAGACAGCATATGGACCTCCAGTATTTTGCTTCGTCCATTAAAAAGTGATTGTTGCACCTGGAATTAAGCCCGTCCTTTATTTAGTTATTTATTTATATACTTGAGTGTCCTCAAGACCCACAACAGGGTGCCACAAGGGAAGGAGGTTGGTTATATTAAAAAAAAATGAAGTAAACAACAAAATTAAATGAAAAAGAAGCTACCATAAGATTCTGTGCAAGGGGGGACCACCTATGGTGATGGATAATTTGGCCAGATTTGGGGGGAGGGCTCAGGGCCGGACCAGGTCATTGGTGCTTATTTGGCGCATATTTCAGATCTTCTGAAAAAGGGAGGGGGCGCTCACTCAGCATTTTACGGCAGTCAAATACATTGTAATTTGAGGGAGCCACAAGTACCATCACCACTGCACTACCAGAATGGCTAAGCTTTTACGGCGAGGCTGCAAATGTGCTGATAGTAGTCCTTTTTCCCCCCCTCTGCAGTTGTACATCAAATATGCCTTGTACTTCACCCAGAGAGGAAGCTTTAAAAAATCAGAATAAAATTTTTGTGTCCCTTTCTACAATATGCTGTAATCATAATGCCAAGGTGTAACATCGAAATACCTTGACCAGCTGGCAGGCTTGAAAGTGGGGACCTCCAACCTCTGACTGCAGGTAAACAAGAGAATTTCCATCCGGGCTAATCCGTGGCGAGCAGATGCTCTTGTTTGTGTCGCCAATGGTGGCTAAAGATAGACAAGGAACTGAAAAAAAAAATGGTGGGCACCCCTGCCCATCACTCGGGAAAATTTTTCCGTCAGAAAACGCACTGCGAGTGAAAGGCGGCATAAGAGATAGTAACAATTCAGAACATTTAAGGTCTTCACCAACATCTGGTGAAAACTAGTTGGACGATGAATTATTACGCTATGTAAAATACCACGTTTTCATGTAAAACCAAAATATATCATTTTGGCGCAATGATTCTTGATGATCCCAACTGTACGAAGAAAGTCCCAATTACTCTGCAGATTATGATGTAGTTGGCTTTCACACAATGCAGAAGTTTGGGCAAAGATTGAGGCTTGAATTGACGAGAAACTGCTGAATAGAGAATGTTGCCAGAGCCAATGTTTCAGTAAGAGGATGAACCTTTGCCAGGGGCAAGTGCCCTTACGAAGACCAGTCCTTAAGCTGACACATCACCTGCAACAACGTTCCTTATTCAATGATTTCTAATTTCGCATGAACGGTATTTTTTGTGCTTGCGACAATCCAACGAAAAGCAGGAAGCTTTAAATTTCGGCTAAGCACACAGCTTGCATTTTAATGCGACATACGCATTCTATCAAGAAGGCGATTCGTATCATGCTCTACATCTTGAAAGAGCCAGCAGGTTAGAGATCAAAGATAATGTGTGGTACTTACCATAACTGTCTGTCTCGAACTCGTAGAAATACAGGCGGGATCTGCATGAAAAAGAATTATAAATATACTTGACAGAATCAGACGGTCAAGAATCTTTGATTAACCGTTAAACACTTGTCAGCAGTTCAAGTTTTCCAGAGCTGACGAAAACTGACCAAAACATCAAGGCATTTCAACAAATGAGCTGAGAAGAATTCATGCCAAGCATAAATTCCTGCTTAAATTGTGCAATCTGAGGAGGGATACCCAGAAACACTTGTGGTCTCTGTGGCTAAAGGCTTGCTGAAAAAGATCAAAACAGGGAAGCAGCGTGACAAGAATGGTGTGGCAGGTTTTAGACGCGTACAAGCCGTTATCCCGTATATTAATCAGACTCTCCATAACCTGAAAAATATAGGAAAATGTGAAGGTGTTGATGATGTAGTATTTTCGGCTCCATTAAAACTTTCACTTCTTTGCAAGAAAACGAACCCATGCAGCAGCAAAGAAGCAAAATTTTGCAGTACCGAACACCGAAATCGGTTTGTGCCTTGTGACGAGGGCGTTGTGTATCGGGTGCCATTGTCTTGCGGAGACGAATACATAGGGCAGACGGGCAGATGCGCTAACATGAGGCTAAAAGAGCACAACAAGAACATAATGGAGGAAAATCAGGAACATCTCAACTTACACTGCGGTAACTGCGGTGATAAGCCTACGCACTGGTGTACTCGGCTTTGCACACCTCAGTTTGATAAAAGTGGCATTGTTTACCACCACAAATACCAGTGCATCAGGGAAATAGTTGAGGTGGTAGAGATTGCTTGTATGGGAAAGGAATGTGTCATCATGTCATCACTTGGATTGACCAAGGCTGAACTAAGGTTTTTAGAAACTTGGTCAGTGCTTTTTACTCTCTGTCTGTGCGGTATTTTCTAGTTTTATGCGCTATTCCGTATGTTGCAATATAGATGTTGCTTGGATTCAATTTTACAATCTGGAAGCATGCCATAAAAGTAATAATTACATGGCTACTAGCATTGCTTACTCAACTAACATTACAACGCGGTTTATTGTACAAGATCTGCCCCTTCCAGGAGTCGGGCTATCCACCACGGGCACAATCCAACAACAGCTTCCACTTAAAAAGTCCTGCATATTCACACACATGTCGCAATGTATGTGAAGCATGTATTCAAATGTGACAGAGCTGAACTACAATGATTTCTTTACAGCTAATGGGTATAATCATCATTTGGCATTCTGCAAACAGTAATATTATTATAGTAGTGGTGGAGCTTAAGCTCCTCATTAGTTTTTTAGCACATTACTGCCACATTATACGACATTATTCACTTAGGTTATGAGATTTAAAAAAAGAAGAGAAAACAGTGTGAGATGGAAGCTTGAAAAGATGAGAATTTCATGAACGTGAGGTGTCGCTGGAGCCGACGTTTCAACAAGTAGGCTTGTCTTTTTGAACGTTGAAGCCCTATAAAAGGTAAGTGCGCTTGTCAAAACCTCTGCTCCAGCTGCACCTCATGTGCACAAATTTTTCATCTGTCTACATTATGAGAGAAGTTATAGTGGAGGGCTTCGAAGAATTTTGACCGCCTGGGGCTCTCTAACGTGCTCTGACATCAAACAGTCCACAAGCCTCTGACATACTGCTTCCATAAAAATGTGACTGCCGTGACTGGCACGAAAGCCCAATCTTTAAATCAGTAGCACACTACCACCAATTGTGAAGCACTTCCCATTTATAGTACACTCAAACCTCCTTTATAACAAAGTTGTATCTCCAAGAAAATCAGTTCGTCACATCCGAAAATTCGTTATAGAGGTTTATTCCTAACGCCACATCTATTGCTAGCGTATCTTTTATTTAATTCGTCATAACCGCTATTTCGTTATATGGGGGTTTGAGTGTAGTGAACCAGCCAAAGCACTTGAGAGTAAGGGAGACCCCATGCCTGCGGTTGTTCGTGTAGACCAGCCCCAGCTTCCATGGATCTCCTTCCCAGCCAACAAAGACAATTCCCACGTCCTCGGGAGCCCACACAGCCTGTCCCGGTGAGATTTTCTCGGGCATATTGTCGAGCACATTGATGGCGCTGCTGTACACATTGATGGTGCACACCACGGGCTGGCAGTGTTCCTTGTGGCACTCGCCCCAGTTGTCTCTGTGCAAGAACTGCGTACCCTACAAAAAAAAAAAAAAAAAAAAACCCGCACCTATCGTCACAATTAGCATAACTTTGTTGTGTTCTTGTTTGTTTTTTACGTCATGCACATCAGCGTTTATTTATAGGTTGTGAATTTAAAATATTCTCATGTCATTTACAGATGGGTTCACTGTTGAATGGAACACTTTCGTGTGGACTATGTCGGAATTTTGTTTTCTGGCAGAAGCATAGACGCTTACGTTTTCATAAGACTAGTGCTGGTTGACTGTTCTGGCTCTTATTAAAAAACACTAATGCCGTGTACGAACAATTGTACGTCTACCTACAGTTATGGGTCCTGCAATGTGACAAGCCATCGTCACAGTATTCCCTTTCACAGTGGATGATACTGCACACATATCTAAAAGGCAACATGTGTGCCTACTTGGGCTTAGAGCGAACCTCTGCACTATTTCCTAAGTGGATGACATACAATAGTTTCTGGCTCAGTGTGGATTAACACGTTCACTGCGGCATGGGTCGCCGGATCACAGCCTGTGCTACTCCTATGCGGACGTGATTTTACGAGCGCACCTCTGCTTGCTGATGCGACAACTTCATCACACATGAATGCAGAGGTACGGTCCTTGCTGCCAAGAGGTCATAATATCCAGAAGAAATTTTTTTCCGGTGTTAGACGCCATTATGCCATCTTTCTCCAACGGCGCATCTGGCAGATATGCTGAGTGGCCCACCAGTCGGTCACTCCGCATATGAAACGAGACCTCGAGAAAGCTTGCCACAATGAACGTGTTATGCAAGATGCATTTCATGCTATCCGGTTGTTTCAGAGTCAGTTTTTCAAAGGTGCCTCTTTGCATGCACTAAAAAGTGCTACAGGGGTTCACTAAGTGCAAGTGTGAAGGAAGGAGGATATACTTATATCAACTTTTTGAAACCCACACCACGTTATTCTGTTGGGTTTGCAGTACTAGCACAACATTAAGAAAAATGAACGCAGCGCGAGTACAAGTGGGCATACAAATAGTAAAATTTTTGCAAATTACAGAAATAGCATTGTAAATTGCAGCAGTAAGTATGGAACATAGCACTATTTTGGAAGATAGGTTTTCAATGTGCTTTTGCCAGCTGGACCTCCGGCCTTTTGCAGGGATTTAGCCCTGACCTAAACACCCAAGCCACAACTTCAGGTCAAGGTTGAAACTCACGCACCTTTTCAACTTCTTGTTCAGTGCGGCAGAAGTAGGAGGCTCGCTTAGGCTGCTTTTTCTCAGCGATGTAGAGCAGCTGGTTCTCGCTGTTAGACCACGAGAAGCTGCTGAATGTTCCTGCACACGACAATTACCAGGAACAAAAAGTAGTTTTTTTTTATGGGCATTCACTTTATAATATTGTGCTCGCAACCTTAACCAGTAAATGTAGATGCATTATAAGGTTAACACAGGAAGCAATGGATGAATAGACAGGAGGGCAAGTTCCCACTTTGTACGTAGGGAATGTTTTTGAAAGGCTTTCCCACACACTGTTGGGATAATGTTAGTCACACTGAGCACAGTCTTGGTTAATAGGGCAAGTACGGAACTTTGCGCGCTGTAGTCACAATTGCACACTGCTGCAAGACTGGCATTACAGTCCCTGCTACTGGGACAACTTACGAAGTCCTATGAAGATTTACTGCGGTTCAGTCCTGCTTCAAAATTTGTGTCCGTTAAAACCGAAATGTTTTCTTACACTGTCATACCATTCTAGTCTGCTCAGCTTAATTAAATGGCTCTATTTACGAGTACCTTTAGCTCAGAGGAAAATTTTCTGCTGCACCCTTGTCCTATTTTGTCACAACTGCACTTCATGAAGACAGTGGCAACAATACTTTTGAAACGAAGTGAAAAAGTTTATTTTTACCACATGAATAGTATACTTTGGCGCAGATAAACGGCAAGGATGGCAGGATTACGCCACTTGATGGCAGCTTGACAGGTCCTGCCTCCACACGAACAAGCATCGATATGGCAAAATATTCATTCTTATGGCAAGACAAACAGAAAACAGTCACATACAGACAGAAAAGACAGAAACTGAGGTAAATCTACTCCAAAAGATTCAGCTCCATGTCCAAAGTCCTACATTAGGTATTGCTTGCGCATCACACTATGTGTGTTCCAGATAATACATTTATTATAATGGTCCATTAAAGATGTGTAATGAGGATAAGAGCTCACCACTTTCATGGACCTTGCCATGAGCATTCACGGCCTCCAGGTCGACCGAGTCCAACCTCATGTTCTGGTCCCAAAACTGAGCGAGAGTGTCAACACTTCAGTAAAACAAGAAATGCCAGAAGAATAGGATGCAATTCCATCAAGCACATTTGACCTCCAGTCCGCAGAAAGACACATGCTCCCGTACAGTGGAGCTTGTAAACCTTCAAAATTCAAATTTGAAGGTGATTTAGAGGTGACCATTTGGCTAGAATGCCCCACAGAAATAAGAAAAACAATTTCAGTCTCTGTGTATGGGTGATACATCTACATAATGCAACTTGAAACATCATAGGTGGCCAAGACATATAGAACACATACGCAAATGCAAAAGAAAGTAAATGGAGGCAGCCTCTAGCTTTATTGGTAGAGCATTGCAAGCCCCGTGTGCAGGTTGTGGGTTCCTCTTGTACCTGTGAAAAATCATAGTTGCTTGAACTTTAAAGTATGCCTTAATTTACTCTACATTTTAATTGGTGTTGCATCTTTTTACAGGGAAAGCTATTATGAGGTCGCAGCATGGGTCGCGTGCTGCACCGTAGTTGTTCGCCGCCGTCGCCGGTGTCTGTAACCACTATCGCACGAAATGAAAAAAAAAAAGCTCAGTAAATAAAGTAACTCCAAGGACACAATGAGATTCGAAGCCGGGTCCCCTTTGCGCCAGCCCACTATTTTACCATTGAGCCATGCCAGTGCTTGGGACAACTTTTCAGGCTGGCCTTGGGCAGAGAAGGAACAACCAGTCATCACACAATGCGAATTGCGAACGAGTGGATCGTCCAATGCTCCAACCCATGTCGGCAAAGGAATTGCGTTAATATGAGTAATAAAGCGTTTTAGAACAGCGAAGAAACAACTAGTCATCACACAATGCGCATTGCGTAAGAGTGGATCATCCAATGCTCCAACCCATTACAAAGGCTTGTACTTGATCAACAATTAACTGTAACGCATAACCACTTCAGGCATAAATCCTCATTGTCGACAGCCACTGCATAAAATATTTGCATCAAATTCCTTACAAGTGCGTAGCGGATACCACGCTTCTCCGAAGAATGATGAAGAATAGCACAGTGAATGTCAGCCTACTACACAAAAATTATGATTATTTATGGCTTTGTGTGTACTCAACAAGAGTGCTTCTAGCAGTTACCCAAAGAGAGTTAAGAGAAGGCTCTGAAAGGCTGCTCTTTCAGCTTTCGCTGTGACTATGCCGTGCGTTGCACGCAGGCCTGGTGGTTTTGTTTGCTTCCTGTGGCAGTTTCTAAAAAAGATCAGGTTAGGTCATTCTCTTACACTGATTTTTCATGGTCTGAACAGTTTTCACTATATCAAAAGCAAATGCACATTGGCCAAACTTTTCTTACTTGAACATAGTGAACCGTAATATGCTTAAGAAAGGAAAATAAATTGAAAATTATGCATGCAGCAAGAACACACTTCAAAAAAAAAATATCTGTACATTCACTCTAGAGCTCCGTTACAACATAAGAATGTTAAGGCAAACATATAAATCCACTGCATTCATTATAATGTGTAATCATTGCTCTTGCCCCAAAAACAAGTTAACGTGAGATACAAACCTCCATCATCTGTTTGGTTTCTCCTTTCTTAGTGACTTTCCTCAGGACTGCCTTGTGGCACCCAGACTGAGAAAATGCTGTAAGGATTCTGCAGAAAAAAAAAAAAAAAAACGGAGGAAATCACAAATATAGGAACGGTAAAACGGAAGAAACGAATTCCAATACCATGTCCAGCTCGAACATTTACAGTAAATACTCTCTATGAAGCGTCAAAGAGACACCAAAGTAAAACAATAAGTCAGTTTTTATGGCTTAATTATACTTCGAAGCTATATTGCTAATTATACCATTACAGATTCATTAACAGAAGAGAAAAATTAAGGTGGAAGATTCATCTTTACTTTTACACCGAAATTTCTGCACATGACCCCATAAATTTCTATCTGTCTTCCCCCTCTGCAATGGTTTAACAAAATATGCTGAAATTGGTATGTCAAGTCTTTGGCTGGCTCAAAGGACAATGTACTTCATATTTGCCGATTACAAACTACATAGGCCATAGTGGACATCGTCAAAATCTCGGATGTCACAGCGATTTGTGCGAGAGTTTCAACATGACATCGCCATCCCTATTTTTTTCATGCACATTTTATCGCTGGCCAAGCCTTCTCACCGCAAGCGTGATGGTTTTGATATTGTTAATAATTAATTTTCTGTTCTGTTAGAAAAATCATTTTATTTTTACTCGTTTTACTCAGTATGTGAATGAGCTTTCATATTTAGACCTCAATGGGAAATCATTTAGTCGGTGAATCGATGAGTGCGTTTATATGTGGCTCTCTCAGCATTGGCTCATTGAGCCTAATCTTGAGTCACGATGTGCATGCCGATACATTCAGTGCATCATCCCTCCTTTGAAAGAAGTGAAAACTCACTCCGACGAACATTCCTGGGGATGGCCGATGGCCTGGAAGCTGAGCTTGTTCTCATCATCCAACAGACCCAGGTGGTGGCGACAGAAGAGGGCCTGTTCCCCTTGTTCCACATCGCGCACTTCCCACAGAGTGTGCACAGTCAAAGACTGACCGTCCTGGTTCAGATGCACAAATGCATCACGTGCCTCCGGCACGCGTGCAATCTCCCGGTACAGGCTCACAATGTTGCTCACCTGTGCAGATAAACAGGCGCCGCAGTCAATTCGTTAAACTTCAAGGCGCCGAGTAACCATGCATAAAGCAGCCAGCGATATTGTAATTGAGTTGCACGGAATCCCGCAAGGCGGCAGAAGTATCATGAAAGAAATAATGAACAACCACCCGTTTGTAGTACAGAGCCACAAGAAATCTATGTGGACTTCTCAGAAAGGAACACTTCAAGTTGAAAAAAATTTGTCTTGATCCAGGAATAAACCCTGAGACGAACCAGTGCGAGGGCAAATTAGTAAGAGGTGTGCAAATAGTGAAAATTTATAACCAAATCAAATATGAATCGCATCCTATTCGAATAGCTTTCAAATATGGCAACCACTTTGAAGACAAGTCTGAAATGTTACATTTTTTTTTTTTAACAAGTATTCACAGGTTTTGAGAACGTAATACTACCGTTACGTTTAACCAACAAAAGATACCACAATAACGTAAATTGAAGTATGCCCATACAACTACAGCCTTCAATGTGGTGAAGTAATTACAGCAATTATTCCAGTATTTGAGGGGATACTCAGTCACCAGCTTTAAAATAACACTAAAATCAAAAAGTTAATGTTTGGTGAATGACCACGAATGTCATGAAAGTGATGGTGAATAGAGGACGCATTCGCTTCAGTAACACTTCGTCTTAAAGCAAGGCACTAAGTCGGGCTAGTTAGGCTCATTAACTGTGCTAACACACACAGACAATGACGAGTGAAAGACAGACTCCGCCTATCCTTTGGCATTACCGTACAAGTTTGAATTGCATGTGCCTTGGCGATTCATCAATTTAAAAAAAAAAGAAAAATGATCCCTCCCTTTTACAACATGCTGTTCTTGTGGTGTTTTCCCATTAGTGCTAATTATTTGAAGACTATTAAAAAATATTCGATTATTCAAATTTGCACTAGTCAATTGTGCACCAAATCAAATACAATTCTATTTGATGTGTTCTTTGAAATTTCCGATTATTCGCTCACCCCTACAAAGTAGTAAAAAACTCAAAGCACATGGGCACAAATTATTGCTAAAGAGTTCTGCGCAATCCTGCGCGATGTTTCCGGAACTGCCATGGATTTTTCTGTGGCCTCTTGCTACAAATGCGTAGTTGCCTATTACCCCTTTCATAAGCAGCTAGCAAGTGATAGCACGAAGTGTACGAGCTAGCCCGAAGCCGTATACTGTCATTACAAGCACCTTGTCATGAGCATGAAAAGTAGTGCCTGGGATAACATATTGATTTCAGTTCTAATACCTTTGAGTGCTTTGTTATTGTCGCAAAAATCAGGTTGCCATGATCAACAAACAATAAGAAACAGAAGTGAATACCTTTATACCTCCTTAAAACAAAGTTGCATTCTACATAAAAATAAGTTTGTTATATCCAAAAATTCCTTATAAAGGTATGTTTCCATTTGTAATAAAGGTATATTCATTGCAAGACTATTCTTCACTTACTTCGCTATAAACAATATTTGTTATATCTGGATTCGTTTCATGGAGGTTTAAGTTTAATACAAATCCTTTACTTAACATAGACCCAGTTTGAAAAGGAAGCAGCTTCTGGTGCATATTTTGCTTTGTAAGTTAGTGACATGCATTTCTGAAAGCACCATATCCAGGGCACATTTCAATTTACAGAAGGATGATATAACTTCGAAAGTGCTCAGCAGTGTTTCCTCATATGGAAGTGTTTTTAGCACTGTCATTATGCTACTTCTGATATGGACTGATGGCTCTAATAACTCAAATTCTTTGGCCATGTTAAGCATAACCTGACAAATGCTATCCAAAGAAACATCTAAATGCAAATTTCAACATCAAAATTGACTTGTAAGAGTGCCAACACACCGACGATCCAAGATTTCCAGGTAATACACTTCACCCAAAAGTACAATGATAACTCTTGGTTTTCTGTTGATTGTGCTACCTCGTTGATCATGATATTACCTCATTCTCAACTAAGTGGGTCTATCTGCACTTTTTTAAACTGAAATGGCTCTCATGATACTGCCTTTGTAGCTACACTGACATCTGCAATCTAGATATGTATCAATGACCCATTTGTATAAATGCAGTACACATGTAATTGTGATACATGTTGCTTGATGTCTTCATATATGTTAGACCAACGTGTGTCACCATATGTCACTAAGTAGAATGCAGGTAGATAGTACCATGGGCATAGCCAAGAAAGAATTCTTTGGATTTTTTTTTCAATTTGCCATTGTATATATACACACACATACAAACACATGCACAAACATACGTAAAGTAGGGTTGAACCCTCCACCTCCTGAAGAAAATTTCTGGCTATGCTACTAAGCACTGTATTTATACGATATTAGCTGCTCTCTCTCTCTCTCTCTCTCTCTCTCACACACACACACACACACACACACACACACACACACACACACACACATATATATTCATTTATGCATGCACAATCACATTGCATATGAATTTATGTACTTACACTCAATGACTATAGTTCATACATATAAACTATGTTCACGAAAAAAATTAAGAATTGCATTTGTTTGCAATTTAGTTCTCTCTCTTTCTAGAGCTGACAGCTCTGCAAAATACCCACAGCGGCACACTTTCGAGATTGGCATCGGTTTAGTCACAACGCTATCAAAGCAGCTCGTCGCCAGCCAGATTAAAGTAAGCGCAAGTTCATGAACCTAAACTTGTCCCTTTACGACCATCTAAATAAGAAAATATTTTCACCCACGTCCATACTGAAGTACGCGGTGCAACTTCCTCGGGCACTGCAGCGGGCTCGTCTCGAAAAGTGAAGCTTTCTTTATAGGAGGCCTGTTATTCGGATGCCCGCGATAACGGAAAGCGCGGGAGATAACGACCAACAGCTGATGTTGCCAGGTGGCGCCAAGGAAGGTACACGCCGTTGTGAATGATATCAGCCGTGAGCCTAGAAGACCGTTCGCGCGCTAATGCCGCCGTGTAGTTTCATCGGACGCGGCCGCGCGAAACCAGCTAGAGCCGCACCGCGTGCATTCGGGAACGAAACAAAAAGAACACGATGGCGACACGCAGCAGACAAAGAGAGAGAGAACGGCTGATTCATTGCAGCTTATTCCTTCCCCCATGGTTACAGCCGCAGGGCGAGGCATACTATCGACGCACGCGTTCTATTTGAAACAGTATTTCTAGTGTTTCTTTTCGTAGTTCGTTTCGCGTTCTCGTAATTGGAGTTTATCGAGCCAACCGCAACGTGACGCCCGGCGAACAGAATGCGTGCAGCTGCGCATGTCGACCCAAACATCCGGCTCAAGCAGTTGTCCGTTGCACGCTGCAGTACTACAGTGTACTCTCTAGCAGTACGACGTTCCGCGCGAGGCAACTAATTCCGACCATAATTTCCGGACACCTCGAGATCGGCTTTTAGCGATATTTCAAAGAGACGCGTCCATTATTTAGCCGCACGCGGCTCGTTCGGTAGGCTAGACTACACTCTAAACGGACGCAATCATGAGTGACAGCCGGGCAGGGGAATTCACGCGCAACATTGACAAACACATGGGTCGATCGCCAATGAGCTGCACTAGATCAAAGCTACTTTAAAATATAGGCTTCTTCCGCCAGATGGCGCCAGCGAAGGCGCCGCCATAGCCGCGGTCACGACCTCCTCGTGGCTAGTAGTGCACGTGGTCTACCAGGAACCCAACATATGACAGCGCGATATTTGGCGGCGCTGCACCTAACTAACCCCGTTTTCATTGAAGAATATATGGCAAGCCGTCAGACGTTGTGCCGCAGCTACTCCGCGTGTTCGAGGCAGCACGATCACGCCAGCAAGAACGACGACGTCTGTGGACGTCCATGCCAGAGCGGGGATAAATAAAATATGTAGGAAACCAAACGCCGCTCGTCTTTCTACAAGTGGTGACCCGGACTTCGAGCGGAAACGCGCACCTACTCGTCCTTTCGCCAACGCACCAAGCGTCACGGCCAACTCTGCTTCTTCAGCCCCGTTCATTTCGGCTGACCATGGACACCAGACACAACAACGACGCCACGCCGAATCCCACGGTACCTGACCCTGCCGTCGCTACTATCAAGCTCCCGGAGTTTTGGCAGGCGGACTCTGAACTCTGGTTTCTGAGCGTCGAGCCACTCTTCCGGCGACATCGGGTAACGTCGCAAACAGCGAGGTACGACTACGTCATCGGCGCTTTACCACCTGCTGTCATCGCCATCGTAAGAGACATTCTGCGTTCTCCACCTCCTGACAACCCCTACGACACCCTCAAAGACGAGCTCATACACCGGACAACTGAGTCGGAACAGCGTAGGCTTCAGCAGCTACTCACTTCGGAAGAGCTCGGTGACCGAGCGCCTACAGAGCTTCTGCGTCGCATATGCGACACCTGATCGGGGACCACTCTCCTGCATTGGAAGCCTCCATCCTACGCGAACTCTTCTTACAGCGACTGCCACAGCAGGTGCGAATGATTTTGAGTGTATCATTTACACAAACCCTCGACTCACTAGCGCGGATGGCCGACAAGATTATTGATATCGGTGCCCCGTCCATATCTGCGATCGAGAGACCACGTGAATCTACCCTCTCTGTGCCGGTCCGCGATGACCGCTTGCACCACCTTCTTCAAGCTAACGAGGAGCTCAACCGCAAGGTGGATCAGTTGGCCATTGAACTGAGCGCGCTCAAGGTAGACCACCGCCGCAACGCGTCACGAAAACGGCGCCAAAGCCGCGAAAGATCGCCATGTCTGCCTCTAAGCGTCTGCTGGTACCACCACCGATACGGAACTTGAGCTCGTCAGTGCATACAGTCATGCCAGTTTGCGGGAAACGCACCGGCCACGCACTGACCGCGGCCAGTGTTTCAGGCCCGACATACATCCGCTTATTCCACGACAGGGATCGCGTCACCAAAGTCCGCTACCTCATCGACACAGGCGCAGAAGTGTGTGTTGTTCCTCCTACG